GGACGGGGATTCTTTCCCAATCCTTAAATATTCGAACACCTACCTAATCCCCAAAAGACCTGCAACGTAATCGTAATTACTTTCATGTTGCGTGTGTGTCCATGGTTCGCTCCGAATGCTTGTTCGTATGTATTTGCCGACATATACCACAAAAAAAAATACCTAGGTAAAGTACATCTTTTCGTCATCGTTCCACGCGAAATTTTATCATCCCCATCACATACATGGTTGGCAGTCAACAACTGTGCGATTCACCCGTAACTTTTCGCCCCGCAAAGCAAATCGGTACTTAACTTTATACGGTATTCCCGAACAGATACGACCTTAAAACCTTCAAGAAACAAGCGCACTCCTTCTTATAAGGCTGACAACGCACCTGTGACTCCTCTAGTGTTACTGGAGTCCATGGGCGGCGCTGATCGCTTACCATCAGGTGATACGTCTGCTAGTTTGCCTCCTATTCCATAAAAAACGTACTTACATAAATATGTTTATAGGAAGCAGTGTCGATAGAAGGCAGGTAATTACAGTAACAAGCTGTCGGTAAACTTGTAGCTATCGTATCGATTGATAAACACTCGACACGTTGATTGACGACACTTGATGATCAATTAAGTCGCGTTCGCGTTCTCTATTAATATCCTTAAGCTCATTGCACCCTAAATGAATACTAAACAGTGCTTTGTTTTTCATGTAGTAATCTTAATCAATTCAAGATTAGATATACAACTGAAGAGAAAATCTAGATGTTAGAAAGAGTTTTTATCTAGACAATATTAGCAACGCTGTCTATAAACATGTCTTCAAGGAAAAAAAGGCATAACGCCATGGATTCGCATCGGGGTCAGGATCGCGCGGCGCGCTCACCAGGAAGGCCCTAAATGGCGATGCGAGTTAACTTTTTATCTCGTACCGTTACGCCTTGCGCCATCGGTTCCTCTGTGACATCACTATGTCGCCACAATTACTAACTGCACTGGCTTAAAGATAAACGGACAGCTGTTATAAGTAACGGGAATACTATGATCCCCATAAGGGCGATCACGAAGCTGTATTGAAAATGCAGATGTGATATTTAATTCGTCCAGTAACTTATGACTAGGATTTAGTTTTAAATAGTGAACAGGCGATTTTGGAACATAATTATTCTACAATTCAGATAAACTACGTCAACGGACGGTTAAAATGTTCGACAAAGTGATACCTGTGCCTACTTTGAGTTGATAGAGTTGGCGGTATTCCATATTAGTTACGGAACTTGAGATCCTCGCAGTTAATTCTTAGTAATCACTGTGGATGAATTGGTTCGTCAACAAACAAATAATGACGAAGAAGAAGAAACTTAATTTTAACTTGTTTAAGTCCTACGATGGCGAGCGTAGCGATAAATCTATAATATAAAAATAAATCGCGAAATGTGTTGGTAAGCGCATAACTCAATAACGACTGGACCAATTTTGCTGATTCTTTTTTTGTTATGTTAGTTATTTTTATGTAAACGTTCTTACGAAAGAAAGCTTTAGAAAAGTAAAGGGGAATCCTTTCAGCTGTAGTCGTTTGCTAAAAAACAAATGACTGACGGGAAGGACTAGTCAGATACCTACCCGTGCGAAGCAGGGGCGGTCCGCTAGTTAGTAATATATAGTACTTCGTGAAAGATAAGCAAATGTTATGGTGGAACACGGAATAGAATAAAGAGGGATAAAAGTATTATGCAATGGGATGAGAAAAATAATATTGGAAATAGCTCTTGTTTTGCCTGTCTATCATTATGTCGGAATGTTTGCAGCTTTTGATGGAGCGTTGTGTGTATGTAATATTGAAGAGTAACATTAGATATGTATGTGTGATGTATCGCTTCGTAAGGTGTTAAACTCGAGACGACTTTTTTTTTATTTACACATGTTGTTTTAGAGACAAAAGCGTAGTCTGGGGGTTTTATACCACTCATAATAGGCACACTGAAGTTCGTTTATCGATTTAAAGTGTAAGCAAATCGATTTTGGATTCCATTAAGGCTGATGTTCTGTCGGGCTGTTGTAAGTACAAGCACGATGATTTCTGCTCGTCTCGACTTGAAATAGGTGAAGGAACGGAATGGCTTTTTGTCAGTAGGAGTCTGACACTTCATTTCGCCCCATTTTTTTTTTGTCAGGTGAAAGTCATCAAATGACTTCTCCCACCCAGGGTTAGGCGAGAGAGAGTGTCAGACTCTGACTAAAACCACCTCTGTTCCTTCTTCTGCTCTGGGCCGAGGCCGCGGTGACTCATTGCGCTTAACTCGCAACCCCGGCTGAACATCAGCCCTATAGGGCCCGTCTGTGATTAGGGCTAGAGAAGTCATTTGATGATTAAAATTTAAAATAGTAAATCAATTTAGTTTAGCAAATAAGTTAAGTCAAGTTATAACGTTAAACCTATAAATGTTGTGAGTCACAACGGTTGTGTCATACGGTCCAGAATAACTTTCCTGGGAGCAGCGACAACCGTTTTATTAGTTCGGCCGATTGCTCTTGTTGCTTTCAAAATACATGTGTTTTATGTTTTGACGATATTGCCAGTGAAAGCGAGGCGGTTAACTCGTTAATGGTAGCGAGGTCAGGATTGTTTGAATATAGTGAGAATTTAAACGTAGCAAATATTTTTGATTACTTGCTAATCTTTTAGAGCAGATTTGAGACTATCATGACTAGTTATGATTCCAAATTCGTCTTTATTTTAATGGCATAAAATATTCTACAATACAAACTTGTTTAAAAATACCCTTTTCGCCTCTAAATTTAGAACGAATACCTACCTAAAAATACAGGACATATTACACCTAAATAATAATATGTATGTTCTACGAAGCTGTGAATTTGAGGTCGGTTACCAAAACTACAGTGATTTATTGCTTGTATTTCATCACAGACGAAGTGTGGAACGGGTGCTGTTTCCATACATTTCTCACTGTTAAATCAAACCAAACGGGACAGATGGTGATTATTTCTGTTCCCATTTCCTTCCAACACTTAGGTGCTGTTAGGTAATAACCTACTTTATGCAGTTGATTTAAGTTTCCTTTTATAGATTGAAAACTAAAATACCTACATATCTCTTAAAAATATTGAACTTGTAATCTTATAAAAATAGCAAACAGGTTAATGGTGTCAATTTTTTTTAAATACTTTGGCTGGTAAATGCCTGAATGAGGGCAAAATTACATTATTTAGGTACATTATACGAAAGAGAATTAAATTACATTTAAGTTACTTTTAGAGACCAGAGTTTATAAACAATATATTATTTCTAATGGAGGTGTATGACCGCTAAGTTCATTGATATCGAACAAGCCTGAGTGCTAAATTAAGAAATACGTTGTTTATAATACTATATGGTTTAGCAATGATATTTGTCTATCGTCCAGTTTAATGAGTTGACCGGCTGTTATCGACAACCACTGATTCAATACAATTCGTACAATAGGTAGATACACTTATCTCATGAACTTGTGATCTTTGTGACAATTCCAACGGATTTCTTAGTCTGATGATTTCGTGGACTTCTTTTGTAAGTAGTCTATTATTCAGCCAACCTCGTTCGTTGGTTTAACTTAGATTTGTTATCTTGCTATAACAGAAAACTTTGCTCTTTTTTACGAATTACTTTATCAAAGAGGTTTTTATTCGTAATAAAGTTTTATTTTAGAGAATTTATGTAAATCACTTGGATTCTGCTGAATAACTTTAAGAGATTATTTCAAAAGATTTTAAAGTTAAGCTCTAACAACCGAAACGTTTACGTCATGTCACTTGAAAGCATTGAAATATAGCCTAGCACTGAATGGTACTGAAATTCTTTGTCATTTAACCGAAAGGAGTATATGAATAATTAGGATTTCTTAGATTTTACTACGCTACAATTTTTATATTTTGTTTTGTTATGTTATTCTTATAAGGCCTGTGGCATTAAGTCCATCTTGTACACAGATGTATGTGCAAAAGTCTAAATAAATACATAATTATAGCGAGCTTTGAAAACTTGCAAATAAAGGTAAGCTAATGAAATAACAACACGAAATAAATTCATCAAAAATATCGAAAAGAAACAAAAGCGAAAATTGATATACTTAATTAATACTGAACGAAGCGAATAGTCTCTACTACTAATAATCCAATAACGCGCAGTCAGTGAATCGTGGTTCGAATACCCATTATCCGATAAATTTGCTGACTATTTTGACTGAGTATTTTCGCTAACGTTTTCTTAAGACGTTTGCACTGAGAACAATAAAAAGCAAGCTGCTATTTTATTAAGAAAAACGGATTTAATGTGAGAGCTCTTAAGAACAATGACAATGAGACATTAGCCCGACCTCTGTTTAAATATACGCGAACTTCATATATTATTATCTTATTTTTATACTATTTAAATGAAAGCATCATGTGTGTAAATAGAATTACTTGTAACTTTAAAATGTTTTAGTAAAAGAAGTAGGTATAATTTCAGATTATGAAACAAAAGGTTTATAATACTTTTATTTTATAATCACATGCATTAAGCACCTAGTGCACCTCGTGTACCTACATTTTCTTGTACATTAAGCTATAAATAGTTAATTAAATGTATGTGTCAAGTATCGAGTAAATTTTTGTCAGCATAACTGAAAATTTTGATGTTTTAAACAAGTCTTAAGCACACATTATTTCCTCCAGGTTAATTTATCAAACATTATGGCATATGGCAACATTATCAAACATTACGGCAGGCGATTCATTTGTTATTGTTGTAGTTTACCTATAATATAAAGATTATGATGAACCTATATCATATAGGATGACGTCTTTTTTTACAATTAACCCTTTGCTCGGTTTCTATACACTGTAGCGTGATTTGTAGCTCAGTGAAAGAAATTTGGATATCCGACCAGCGCGAGCAATTCCACAATGTTTATCTCATTATAATATTAGTATAGATTGCGGTTTTTTATTTATAATAATTTTCTATTCTCTCGTTTCCAGAGGCAACCAGCACTGTTATAGCAGCAGCGGAGTCAGCACGAGATGGCGGTGAGCTCGCGATCCTTGTGCGAGGACCTTCAGGCAGTGCTGCGAGAAGAGAAGAGCTGCTTCATGCGAAGGGAGCTGAAGATGTTGCCATCTCACTCTTTTATAATGGGAAGACTAACAAGGGTAAGTGACATATACATATTATGTAGTGTCGATCTGATCTGAAAATTTGTATCAGAATTTGATAAGTTCGCGCTTTAAAAATATAATAAGTATACAGGATGTCCGGTAAAGAATGGATAACCTTGCAATACCTTTAAGTATATCTTATGGCCATTCAAAAAATATACGAAAAAAGAATATTTTATAAAAACCTTGCAAATTAATTTATAATAGACAAATCCTGTAAAATTTATTTTTAAAGCAATGTTTAATCATCGTGGCTATGCAGTAATGTAATTAACGTAAATGTTAAAAGATCATTTTGTATTACCTCTAGCCCCAGTTCTTTTACTTTCAGACATAATAATTTTGGTACTACCTATGATACTTTCCTTTTCGTTGTTTTTTCTGAATGGCCAAAGGATATACTAAAAGGCATTTCAAGGTTATCGATTCTTTACCGGACACCCTGTATATATTTTGTTGTTAAAATATCCTGTCACAGGACTGCACGAAGAGATTCCAAATGAAATATGTAGTACTTATTTACCTTTGTACAATATACATTGTAGCAATACTGTAGTTTCTAACTAGTCAAATCCAATACTTTTATCCAAATGTCAAAAACGATACTTTTCTATGAAATTTGTATGAAACACTGTGTTATGACGTCATAGTATTTTTGCGTCAAATAGCTTACCTACTTAATTCTTAAGAATTAGCTAAAAAAAAAAAAACAAAAATTTAGTGTATCGATCGATCGACGAATAAAAACATAGTTATTTTTCAATATTTTATTGTATTAAAATGTCGAATTAATTTATTTTTTACCTAGGAAACTACCCAATTTCAAATTCCCAAAGTTATAAGAAATAATTTATAATGATAATATTTAAATGTCACACAGCCTATGGATCATTGGTGAATGAGAATAATAGATTTATTACCTACAACTATCTGAAAACTACCTGAACTTACCTGAAACTACCCAATTAGTTCGTGAAAAATAAATTAAATTAAATATACCTTTGTTAAGATTGTTACGAGCTTTACCTACGAAACACCGCCTCTGTGATAACTAAAAATAAAGTGTAGAAAAACACTGTAAGTAAGTACATGACGTCTAACGGCTTAAAATGTGTTCTAGCAGCAACTTAATGTTCTAAACAGCCGCATTTTCCCGCTAAAACTCGCCACAACATATGTGCCGTAACGAATAAAACCACTCAGCACATACTCGTATTAAGGTTCATTGGGTAAACGAAAGCAGCTTACAATGAAAGTCTAAAATAATATGGCAGTAGGATGGTACCATTCTGTTTTATATCTATACTTATATTATAAAGAGGAAAAATTTGTAAGTTCGTATGTTTGTAAGCTTGTAAGTTTGTATGTAGGGGGTAATCTTTGGAAACACTGGTCGGATTTCCAAAATTCTTTCACTGATAGATAGCTACAAGGTTTCTGAATGCTATAGGCTACTACTACTACATCCCACTACTATTAAATGGAGCCGAGCAGCGGGTGAAACCGAGCGAGATAGCGAGTAAAATAATATTATAAAGAGGTAAAATTTGTAAGTTTGTATGTTTGTAAGTTTGTATGTAGGGGGTAATCTTTGGAACCACTGGTCGGATTGCCAAAATTCGTTCACTGATAGGTAGCTTCAATGTTCCTGAGTACTATAGGCTATCAAATATCACGCTACGATTAAATGGAGCCGAGCAGCGGTTGAAACCGCGCGAGAGTAGCTAGTGTGTTATAAGAAAATGAAAATGTTAACACATTGGTAGTACGTTGTAAGATGCACGTTTGACTCCATATAGCAAGCAGTTAATACTTGCTAAGCAAGAACTTATTGTTTTTTTTTGTTGTGAGGGAAAAATCATCGAATCACTTCCCTTGCTACATGGCGGGGCGGGAGGGAGTGTCAGACTCTTACTGACTAAAAACCTCACCTTTCCTTCTTCTCCTCTAGGCCAAGGCCGCAGTGATGTACTGGTTGACTTTCGCGGTGGTTTTTTTCGGAGATTACCAGGCGTGGTTATGATAATTGCTGTAATTAGTTTAATATAATTTTGACCTCGATGTCTAGCGGTCTAGTTATATGGTGGTACGTCATAGACTAGATCTCATATCTCGTCAGTGCATCGGTGACAATGTTTGTTAATTGGTGTACCCGCGGAACCGAGTCGTCTGCTCGCGTCATGTCATTATGTTTCCAATAAGATGAACACTGCGAATGTAGTTGCAATTTGGATATATTAAATTTAAATACTGTCTTCTCTAGGTCTGGTCTCTTAGTTTCACATTTTTGTAAAATATTTAAATTTTATTCCCAATACTGGAAGTGAAGCGCAGTAATGTATTGTGGCCCCGAAATAGAGCAGGAGACGGAACTGAATGGTTTTTAGCCTCTCCTCCTACTCCAGAGAAACATACGATAGTAGGGGAGCCCAGGATGCTAAATTTGTAGTTACTTAAGCGTCGTAGGGAGTAACTGGATTCTGAAGATTTGGTGATAGAAAGAAAAAAATTTTCATTCTCCATGTATCTCCGACAATGAAAATATGTTAATCTCCCGAATTGCATGATAGGGTTGGCTGACTAAGGGGATAGAAATGGGACCCGTTCGAAACCCTACCACTGTTGTAAACCACGATGAAATCGGCAGATATTTAAACTACCTTTCATTGACATGACTTCTACCTTTTCTCCCCTAATCTGACGAAAACGAGGACGAATACGATGGGTATATTCATCTGTTTATTAAAAATCCCCTATATGTTAATCTGACGCGCTCGAGTAACTACCGAGATTCCTTCATGGGCTCCCCTACTACGATGACGTCTCCGCTTTCTAAGGATTTCATACAATGATCGTGAACTAAAACTTTATAGTGAACTTGCCACCTTTTTTTCTTTCGTAGTATCCCTGGAGAGTCTCCACGGAGGTCACATAAAGTCTGTGTCATGGGGACTGGGTGACAGCCCTCGCGGTACCTTGGCCTTGGTGATAACTCCTAGCAGAGTGAAGCTCATCGTGGGTTGTAAGCCTCTACACTGGCATAGCATGTCCGGCAGACATGATCTCCTGGCTACGTTGTCCAGCCAGAAAATGAAATTGGTAAGTTAAGTAGTAAAAAGATAAAAATAAATGTTATTGACGGCAATGTACGAAGAAATTTTTGTGTGGTCTTTAAGATATTGTACATACTAGCTACCTACCGCAGCTTCGCCCGAGTGGTATGTTGATAAGAAGCAGTCTATGTGTTAGTCCAGGACATCTCCAAACTGCATATCCGATTTTAACCTAATCGGTCCAGTCGTTTTTCGTGAAAAAATAAAAAACATACATCCATAAATTCTCACAAACTTTTACATCTATAATATTACTAGGATTATTAGGAAGTAGGATAATAGAATGCTTATAGACATACCAAAAACACGTTTAAGATCAATGATATTATAAGTAAAAAGGTGTAGATAGGTTACACGCGTTCAGCAAGTGATACATTAAAATATAGCTAACTAGCCACACTTTTTATGTTTGTCTCTTTTTCACTCGCGATTATTGAATCATGCCATCCCACTTTAACGTGTATCATACGCTTTATTATTGTGTGCATTAGTGTACCGTTTTTGAAAATCGAATTTTGTTTATGTAACCAATCTACACCATCTTACTTATAATATCATTGCTTAGGATGCTTTTCTTTCAAATTATCATTTTTTGACACTAACAAATTTGTTAGTGGTTTCAAGTTGACCCGGGATTATATGTATATTCCCAGGAAATGTAAATTATTAATTGCTAGTTTGCTAGCAAATAGTATTAATTTATTAATAAGTAGTTTTAGTGACAAATCTATATTGATTAGACAATCTAACAATATAGAGATTAATTGTACATATAATAGCACGAAGGAGGCTCCACATTTAGTTATAAATATGGATAGTACTCCGGATAGTAATCTTTTAAACTGACTTCCACGACAACAGAAGATAACCAATTAAATTACTCAAAAACCCCTATCATTAAAAAGGTTTCTTCTGGCAATATTGTTAAGCATAAACTTAAATTGAAAAATAAAACAGATAACCTGTTGTCATTGTATAGTCAAAATGTTCAGGGCTTAGCATCAAAAATCCTACAAATTGAATTGTTTTTAGAAAAGTTCCAATATGACATTATTTGTATAACTGAACATTGGTTAAAAGATTATCAAGTAGAATCAATTAACTTCAAAAATTATTGTGTTGGCAACTATTATAGCCGCAAAGAAATGATACATGGTGGTAGCTTGATTTTAGTAAAGAATTCAATAAAATATAAAGAAAGGCAAGACATTGCACTGCTATCAATTGAGCACTCAATAGAGTTGTCCTGTGTTGAACTGGATAGGCATATTGTAGTATGTGTTTATAGGCCTCCTAACATACAGAATTTAAATATATTTTGCTCAGTAATGGAAGATGTATTACAGAAAACGTGTTCTAGTAATAAGTATACAATAGTATGTGGCGATTTTAATGTTGATCTCTTAGAAAACAACTCTTATTGTACAAACTTATTAGGTCTTTTTAAATCTTTTGATCTGTCTAATATATTCCTTGAGCCTACCCGAGTAACATCCACCTCGGCAACTTGTATAGATAATATTTTTTGTAACTGTGATTATTTACATAATGAAATTGTAAACAGATTACCATCTGATCACAGTGGGCTAACAGTCAACTTTAATACTTTTAAAACTGTGGCAACTAAGGAAATTATATTCAGACAGATAACAAACAAAAAAATTGAGTCATTAAATAAAAATTTAAAACATAAATTATGCAGCCCATTACAAGACAATGAATGCCCGAGTGAGATCTATGCTAACTTATTATCCATCATAAAAATACAGTTCGACAAAATGTTCCCTTTAAAACGTAAAAATATCCAGTGTAAATTTTTATTCTGTGACTGGGCTACACCAGGCATTCGTATAAGTAGAGAAAAGTTATTTGAGCTATATGGCATGAAACCATTTAATGAAAGTGAGGCTTTTCGTAGGCATGTCTCCAAATATTCAAAAATATTTAAATTAGTTTGTAAGCATGCTAAATCACTCTATATTAGCAGTAAAATCCGGACCGCGGAAAATAAAATAAAAGCTACCTGGAGTATAATTAATAATGAAACAGGTAGAAACAAATCTAATAAGACAGAATTTAATTTAAAAACCGAAAAGGGATTTACTAGTACAAATTCATTAGTTGCCCAGGAATTCGAAAATTTCTTTAAAAATATTCCCATCAAAACTACGGAAACGTTGCAATCATCTCCAGCACTTGCGGTCGAGCTTCTCAGAAGTAACGTCAAAGAATGTCCTGCGGACTTTAGGTTTAAACATACAAACCCCCAGGAAGTAATAAAGGCGTTTAAAGATATCAAAGTAAAGTCAAGTGAAGATCTCTGGGGAATGTCTGTTAGAGTGTGCAGGTCTTTTATAGAGACTATAGCGCCTTACTTAACTTTAATTTTTAATAAAAGTGTAGATCAAGGGGTTTTCCCGGATTTAATGAAACATAGTAAAGTAGTTCCATTACTTAAATCAGGTGATAGCACAGAACGCAATAACTATAGGCCGGTCTCTATTTTGCCAGTGCTCAGTAAAGTGTTTGAAAAGTTGATACTTACTCAAATACTGCGTCACTTTAACGCGAATTCTATTTTCCATGACCAACAATACGGGTTCACTAAGGGACGTTGCACTACGGACGCAGGAGTATCGCTTATAAAACAAGTTTTCAAATCGTGGGAAAAAGCACAGGATGCCATCGGAATATTTTGCGATCTTTCGAAGGCTTTTGACTGTGTTGAGCACGAAACGCTATTACTGAAGCTGCAACACTACGGCATTCGGGGGGTATCCCTAAATTTATTAAAATCATACCTTCTAGAAAGACTTCTTACAGTACAAGTAAACAGAGTAAACTCCCAGGGTGCTAGCGTATCTATGGGCGTACCGCAGGGCTCAATATTGGGTCCATTCCTATTTTTGGTTTATGTCAATGACCTGCCCCATTTATTCCAAAGTGAACCGCATATGGTATTATTCGCTGATGACACATCCTTGATTTTTAAATTAAATAGACGATCAAATAACTATGACGAAGTGAATAATGCCTTAACGAAAGTTCATAATTGGTTCACAAAAAACAACTTAGTACTTAATGATAAAAAGACGAAATGTATTAGATTTATTTTGCCAAATGTTAAAAGTAACGTATGCGATGATATATTATTAAATGGTCAGAAACTGGAATTTGTAAAGGAGACCACATTCTTGGGGATTACTGTAGACGACAAGCTGCAATGGGGGCCCCACATTAGATCTCTAGCAGGGCGGTTGAGCTCGGCAGCTTATGCTGTCTGGAAGATCCGTCAGCTAACCGACGTAGGCACGGCACGACTAGTGTACTTTAGCTACTTTCACAGCATCATGTCGTATGGAATTCTGTTGTGGGGACAGGCATCCGACGTTGAGTCTATCTTTATCTTACAAAAGCGTGCAGTCAGAGCTATCTATAACTTAGGTCGTCGCGAATCTCTCAGAGAAAAGTTTAAGGAGATCAACATTATGACCGTACCATGTCAATATATTTATGAAAACATTATGTATGTTAGGAAAAACCTACAGCTATTTGTAAAAGTATCTGACAAGCATGACTATCTTACTAGACATAGAAATAGATTAAGTCAGCCTTTATTTAGATTAGCAAAAGTGCATAAGTCGTTCATGGGATTATGTGTTAAATGTTATAATAAAATCCCAACTGAAATACAAAATCTTAATGAAAGTAAATTTAAATTATGTATAAAGAAAGTATTATGTAGGAAAGCATACTACAAACTAAATGATTATATAGAAGATAAAAATGCTTGGAGGGTGGCTGGTTTGACTGCACAGGATAAAAATTGTTAAGGTTAAGAGGAATTTTGATCTCAATTATTAAATTATTCACCATGTTGTTGATTGTTGATAAACTGGATTTTTGTAAATGTGAGAGCCCTGTAACTTATTATAATTGAGTTAGACTTATAGACTTATAGTATATTGGTACTTGTGTCAGTTGGGAGTTGTCATGCTCACTCAGGAGTCTCATTGGCGGTGGCACGGGCACTGGACCGCTCGGTTCCCTATAATATGGTTGAGTTGGGCGGTGCTGGTGTACGTGTCATGTTCGTGAACGGACGCCGCCTATTGGGACTGGTCAACTCGAGACTGTCTAAAGTTGCTGTCCCTGAGGGTTATTTCTTTTTCGGATACTTTGGTTAAACACTAGTGTTACACTGTTCTCACATAATGGAGCTATCTAAATTATGTAACAATGTATTGTAAAAAGTGATTGAAAAAGAGTAACCATGGAGTTTCTTGCTCGTTCTTCTCCATAGGAATCTACACTTTGGAACGAGCAAATAGCTTCACTAGAGGACAGACGGACAGACTGACACATAAAGTTAAACCTTATGATATCTTTTTTGCTTGACGTTCAAAAGTGCCTTTTTTGGTCTATTTGAAATAAAGAATTTGATTTGATTTGATTTGATTTGATTCAGGAGTGGTGGACTGATGACAATTACGCATGCAGTTAATAATATAAAACAGATTCATCATTAACGGTTCCAAATAAAATGTTTATTTATTTTCAATTATTATCTGTTCAACGAATCGTAACGTGTGAATCTGATTGAAATTAAAATTCGACATCGTTATTCAAATAATTGTTATTGATTAAATCCTACAGAGTTTATTATAAACTCTTGTATATTTTCAATACTGGTAATGGCAGTTTCAAAGAAATAATAAGTGGGTGCTCCAGTAGCAAAGGTTTTATTTTCAAGTACTCACCCTCAAAGAAGGCCTTGAAAACGATTTGAGAAGTACGCTTCAAAAATTCAGAGAGTTCATTGAAAACTTATTTAAGCCACGTTAATTTGTTAAGGAAGGTACTTATATTTTGGCTTGAAATCAAAATTATTTTTATTCAAATTCACAGTACCACGAAGAAAATGCACCAGTCGAAGTATACAGTAGTGAACGTGCAGTTTTGGATTCTCTAAACTGCAACCATCATGCTGATACCATGAAGCCACCAGCACTTACGACTGTTGAAGAAACAGACTTTGAAGAAGTTAGAGACTTCTTAGCGAAGGATGCTAGAAGGAAACGAGAGGAAGAGATGCAAGGGGACGAGTACAGAGGAAATTATATCGACCCTAATGTCTTACCACAGCCCCCTCCGCAACCAAACCGAGGCGATATACCTTCTAATGCTATTGAATCTTGTGACGGTAAGCATATTATTTACATACATGAACTTAAAATGTGGGAGAGCAAAGCTTCGACACGAATGAGTCGGCTCGGCCGGAGAAATACCACGGTCTCACAGAAAAGCGGCGCATGAAATAAACACAGCGGTGTTTTGTCGTTTGAGTGAGGTTATCGGAAGCGCAATTCTACCCCTCCCCCTACCCTCCTCAACCCTTAAATATCCTCAACCCTAATCGTCAAAAGGTGTTGCAGATATGATGATCAGATAATTGCTCCGCTCGTTTCCCGACCTATCTCACAAAAATATAGTTTAGAAACCACTTACTTGCAACAAACAAATTTAAAAAAAAATAATAAATGAATAAAAAATCTATCATCTCTGATTGTTCAGAATTAAGTATCTTGAATACCAATAAAAATCGATAGGTATTTATTTTTCCTCTATAACATTTCAGATGAGGTCATTCGTCAGCTTACGTTGCTTCGTCAGACTATCGATCATCTTCGTCGTGAGATTGGAGAGCAGAAGGGCACCATCGACAGTCTCCGCAGTCAACTGCGTCAGTGCTGTAACAGAGTTGTACCTACTCCACCGCCCGTGGAGCGATGCAGCGGATCCTCTTGTTATCCTGGTTATTAAACATTATTCACATACAAATATATTCTCTCTTAGGAAGTAACCTTGCCATATGTAATCCAAAAGTATTTCTGAACCCTTGCATTTCTCATCTATCTATCATTTAGGTTTGGTGTGTTTTTATTAAGGTAGTATAGATTATCATGTTTATGTAAAGCGCAGAGCTCAAAAGTCCATCACAAGTGTAATTTATCAACTTCAATTACTTCAACTTGTTCACTAGGACTAACATTGTAAGAATCTCATTTATAATCCTTATAAACATTAGTATTTACATTAACATTAAAATCATTCATATTGTTAGCTTCATTAGTTTTAGTAAATTCATCACTAATTCTTGCCATATCTACGTCTATCATATAATTTAAGGCGTATCAAGCAACTTTTATATTCAGTGTGGGATTTATATTAAAAGTGTTTTATTGAAATCGCGTTTTATTTCACGTAAGTAATTGATCCACGAGTGTGATGACATCTAAAATGTCTGTCTACAGAGTCGCGAGTCTTGCCCACGTAATATCAAGTTGCTTGATTAACCTTATTCATATTTGTGAATGAATAAATAGATTTGTCAATTATAGTCATGTCGGCATGATTGGTGACTCTGTAGGCGAAAATGTCGCTTTGAACATTATTTATACGAACGAAGAAAATCAAGCTATTTGTGTTTGCTTTATTTTAAGATTTTTTTTTAATTTGGAAAAGAATTTTGATATTGATGTGACATTCATTTGTCATTTGGCTTTGGGGTATTTTTTTGCCAATTGAATGTCTTGTTGAAAACAAAAATGACTGAATTTACCAAAGCTGTTCTTTTATAACAAATTGAACATTTTATTCGAAATGAAGGTTTGAAATGAATAATGATAATGTTTTCATTAATGGAATTTTGGAAGTATTTGTGTAAAGATTAGGAGGTGAGTATCTAATAATGAGTATGGTACAGGCGTGGAGTGCCGTAACACGGCCTCCGGAATCCAATGTGGGTCGTGTCCGCAAGGCATGGAGGGAGACGGACGGAGGTGCAGACCCATCAGCTGCAACAGACGACCCTGTTCACAAGGTGGGTAGATGACAAACCTTGAATAATATATGAGTGGTTGTATAGGGAAATTATCCTGTCTGCCTCTTTACTGCAGTTTAAATTGACAATGTTTTGAAGATTTCAAATGGTTCACATAAAAAGCTGATGTTTAATATATCTGTTCAAGATGACAGAGAGAAATTGACACTTTTAGTAATTTAGAAGTTGGGGTACCTTTTCGAAGTTTATAAGATTTCAATTAGGTATAATCGAAGATTACCTGATTAACGAGGCAGTTAAAGACATTATAGACTTAAAAATTAATCACTTTTAAATCCCAATATTTCCACTTGATGGATCGCAAATGGAATATTTACATAAGACTGTGTTTAGCATATAAAGTTTTGATCACGTTATCGTGACCAAGTTTTGGCGACACTCCAAATAGTAACTGTGTCTGGCAAAGCCGTATGCTATCAGTTAACACATTAAGTACAAAGAACCATTAACTGCCATTGTAACACGTTACCCGCTGACTGCCATTTATGGCCATACATTTGTAGATATCTTTATAGGCGATGGGTGCGAATGATGCTAGCAATTTATTGCAAAACTAAACAAGCATCTGCACAGCTAGTCTAGCTGCAATAAATTGAGTGTGTTTAGAGAATTTTAGGATGTTTAGGTATATCGCTACACTTTAAAAAGCTTGCTTTGTTCGAAACATCAATCTTCTTCTCCACAGGAATATATACTTTGGAACGAGCAAATAGGTTTACTAGAGAATAGATCGATAGAGTAACACACAATGTTGAACTGTTTGATGTTTTTTTTGGTGACCTTCAAATCATCATGTATGGTCATTACCTTCCCTGCATTTTTTCTGAATTCAAAACTAAGTGACTAACACCCGGCTTCCGAAAGGCCGATCAATGTTAAAATCAATTTAATCTCTTGTCAAGTCATCTGTTGACTGAATTATCACACACACACACACACACACACACAGGAGATTAGTTAATTTTAGCGTTGACAAGCCTTTCAGAAACTGGGTGTATGTTTCCGAACGAAGAAATTGTGATGTAACTTTAAATCGTACGTAAGTATGCATTGATGAATGGATGTCTGGATAAATGAATGGATGGATGTACGGCCGGATTGATCGATGTTTGTTATTCTTTCACTTAGACACTAGTGAATGGATTTTTATAAAATTTTGCATACGTATAGATTGTAGTTTGGAAAAATACAATTTTTATTCTGTTAACGTGGGCAATGCTGTTTTAGAAGCTAGTAGATCTTATAAGCAAGATTTCTAATGAGAATTAAATCATCATTATCCTTATATTGTCCAGTGGAGAGATGCGTGGATACGGAGCAAGGCTACCGATGTGAGAGATGTCCAGGACGACAGACTAGCGATGGACAAACCTGCCGTGCCGCGTGCAGCTCCAACCCTTGCTTTGGTGGACGTGAGTAACAGTCGAATTTATGCTAATACTACTACTATTATAAAGTTGTAGAGATTGTTTGTTTGTTTGTTTGAACGCGCTAATCTCCGTAACTACTGGTTCGGATTGAACAATTGCTTTTAGGTTAGCACGGAGTTTCTTCCTCGTTCTTCTCTATATGAATGTACGCCGTGGACGGATCCAATAGCTTCACTAGAGAACAGATTAACAGAGTTGAACATTTTTTTATTTGACCTAACAAAGTGTCCATAGTGCTCGATTTGAAATAAATGATTTTACTTTGACTTTGAGACCCTTGCGTGGTTTGAACCTTTTTAAACAATTACTTGAGCAGTGATAAAACAGAATGACTTTCTAAATTAAAAATAATCATTGCGCTTCTCCAAGGTGTCCAATGTCAAGACCTACCGGATGGAGGCTACCGATGCGGATCTTGTCCAGAAGGTTACCATGGAAACGGAGAACAATGTTACAGGATCTCTTGTCGTCAGAACACCTGCTTCCAAGGTAGGTAGCGTGAATAGAGAATTTTTCTCATATAAATAAGACAGACAAGCCAGTTACAACCTCCCAAAACCCCCTGTAACTCCTGTAAGCTGTAAGCAGATAAGACTGTACATCACTATAAAGTAAAAACCAACTAATTTCACTTTCTCTGTCTCTTTATCCCTATGTATTCTTAAACCTTTATAACTAAGCAACTGATTTTGATGCGGTTCTTTCAATAGATGGAGTTATTGAAGAAAAAGGTTTATATGTGCAACAACATTTATTAAATGGTCCAGAAATTTAGTATCAGCATTGCGTCAGTGCTAAGCCGGGGTGGGTCGTTAATTTATTCATATTTTTTTTTTTTGCTAGGAGTGGAATGTCAGGAAACAGCATCAGGACCTCGTTGTGGATCCTGTCCAGCCGGTTACCATGGTAACGGACAGCAGTGCCAGCATGTGTGTGATAGCCACAAACCATGTGGGAACAGGAGATGTAGCCCGACCTCTACCAGCCCCTACTACAATTGTGAAGGATGTCCTAAAGGATTTGAATGGAATGGTAAGTTGCAGCCATACTGATATAGCCATATTTCAGATTAGGGCGATAATGTAAATAAAAAATCTGATGTAACACGATATGTTATTCAAACGCTTTCTTATTTCGTCTACGATTATGTCTATTTTTGTTAGGTCAAGTACAAAATTTTTAAGTAACAGACTTTCTATTTCCAAGTTCCTTTTAAATTTCCAAGCAAAGCTGCCTGAAAGAAATCAACCTTCTTCTCGGAGTCAGATAGGAAATGCCTGCGTCATCTAGTTTTTTTTTCATTCACATAAAAATGAGGTCTAAAAAGCAGCTTTTATGTCCTATTAGCAAAAATAAATTCATTATTTCATTTTTTGTTTCAAACTGCATGAGAAGACCGCTTATTGTACTATTTTATACATATTTGTAAGCCTGTTTTTCTTGTATATTTGTGATAGTGTGGGACTATCTTATCAACCAGCATTTTTCTTTAACAGGTTATGGATGTGTCGATATAGATGAATGTGACCTCATTAGGCCTTGTGACGAGGTTGTATCCTGTCGCAATGAGGAGGGTGGGTTCACGTGTGGGCCTTGTCCTCCGGGCTACGAAGGTAGCTCGGGATGGCGAGGGTCTGGCAACGAGCGACGCAGGGAGCAATGTGTCGATGTCGACGAGTGTGCTGATGGAAGGGCCAACTGTCCTAGGGGCAGGCTCTGTGTTAATACTCCGGTAAGAATGAAGGAAAGGTACAGATGTAACAAGGTGGTGATGGCTTGAATGCTTGGTTGATGAACCGAAATATATAATACACTGAATTGATTAGCGAGGGATCGCTTTTATATATATATTTTTTTTTTTTATATTAAATTATCAAAAACAATATTAACAGGTTTTAACTGGTTCAGCATCACTTAAACCTCTCGGGTTTGTGTGTGATACTATTATACTATTCTATTCGACTCACACAATAATTATACATAAACTTAACATTAAACAACTTTATAACAAAACAATCAATCAATCAACATACTGCCAAATACTTTCCAAGTAGTGGGTACTTAGAAAATACTCCGCATTGTGTACCTAAAATGTACTCCGTAGTGTTCTGTTACATATTTGCGAAGAAATGTGTTCTTAATTTATATTTTATGTTATTTTTGTTTATAGCATTATATAATATGTTAAGTTCGAATTTTATTCGAAAGTTAAGATTAGGAATACATAACTTTTCTTAAATCTTTGAATCGAGGCAATTTGTGACACAATAGAAAAACAATAGGTGTCCAAACACCAGCGTTCGCTTGAGGTTTAATGAATCAATACAACACATATTTTTTACGGCAAATAAGCGGTACTTAATGATAAGTAATCAGCTCTGCCTTTTCGCAACAACGGAGGAGTGCATTACGGGCCGTTTGAGGATTAGGGAGATTTAGGAATTAGGGGGAGGGGCAGATTTGGGAATCCAGTGGACCTCGAACATACGGAAAAACACATCTTTGTGGTTTTTTCACAACGCCGATTTTCTGTGAGGCCTTTGCCCATTCGTGCCAAAGCATGGCTCTCCAACACTTGTTGTTACTTTTACTTGTAATGTATGCTGGTGTCCCTCAGGGTTCATTCACATGCGTGCCATGTGGCGGTGGGTTCTATGTGAACACGACGCGGCCCTGTCAGTCCCCGGACTCGTTGGTACTGCGCTGCGATCCTGCGCACTGTCGCCGGTACAACGCTGTCTGTGGGTATGGACACAAGTGCGTCTGCGCGGTCAGTATCATTTTTGTTAATTTATTTATTGTAAAATCTTTCTATACCATGGAATTACATACAGGGAATCATATACTACTTATTACAATAGTTAATATTACGGTGTTTATAACATAGGCCTTGAAATTAGTAAGAATCCATCTTCAACTGTGACCTTCTTACTTTCATGATCAATCTTTTGGAATTCCTATATTTTTTGTCATTGCTAGTGTCTTGTTATTTAATAATAATTTCTACTTAACAATACGACTGCACGGCTGGCTAAGGGTTAGGCGACTGGGTGCTGTGCAACATAGACATGTTTTTTTATTAATTCGCCATTTTTATCAATCAGCAAATTTCAATGAAACCCATAATCCTAATTTCCTAAATTTAACCATCGTCAGTTACTAACTAGAACGTAACTCCTCAATTCCAGACTGGTTGGGCAGGAAACGGCACAGTGTGTGGACCTGACAAGGATTTGGACGGCTACCCAGACCACCAGCTCGCCTGTTTGGAACCTCGGTGTAGGGCTGACAACTGTCCAGAAGTCTCCAATTCAGGACAAGAGGACGCTGACGGTGACGGCATTGGAGACTCTTGTGACCCTGATGCTGATGGTGATGGAATTGCCAATTTGCCGGTGAGTTTATTTGAAATATATATTATTGATTCGATTAACTTTTCAATTCTGGTAATTTGAGAGACAGTAGAAGAACAATAGGAGCATGAAGGCAGAAGGCATTTGCTTGAAGTGTAATGAATTAAGAAGGTATACTGTACTGCACGCTTGGTGCCGTGGCTGGGCAATTGGCTGCCGTGCAACGTGTCGCGGGTTTGATTCCGGTACGGAACAACTATTTGTGTCATCCACAAATAGTTGTTTCGGGTCTAGGTTTCATGTGTATGTGAAATTGTGTGTTTATAACCGCGCCTACGACACGAAAAAGTCGTATAAGAAAGGGGACAATGTTTTCTTAAAAGAAAAGATTTTTCTTGAGACACAAAAATAAAGCAAAGCTTAGAGTAACATTAATTTGTGGTATATAGGGTTTCAGTGTAGGCTTCCAAGTCTAGGGTGAAATGATTCAGTGTGTGCAAGGCCTTTCTTGGAGTCTTTCGCGCCGGGGTTGCGGGGCAAGCGCAAATGCATCGCGGCGAAGGGACTAAGGAAGGGTTTAGTCAGTAAGAGCTCTTTCTCGCCTCACTCTGGGTGGGAGAAGTCATTTGATGATTTTACTCTCAAAAGAGGGTCTTTCGCTTTTTGCTGTGTTTTAATTAAGCACCCATCAGACACCAAGACTGACTTCAAGTATCTCTTAGACCTGCATTAGAAAGTGCACGCTCATTATTAAGGGTCCCGTTGTGACTTGAAACTAATAGAGCTTTTCTGTAACTGACAAAAGCTTACGTGAGTTAGTCATTTTATCAATCAACTTTAAGTGTGATTCGATGGGATCTACGTTAGATTAAGAGCAGAATCAATCTTAGAAGCAGAATCACTTTGGAATACTTATTAAAATTTTGTAATAAAAAACCAAGTGGTTTCATTTCCGGGACTTGATTTCGAGACCGTTTGAGCAAATAACTTGACGATGAAAGGCTTATTAAAAACTCATAAGGAATTTTTAACGAACCAACTTAAGTTAAATAAAAGTACTAAAAAGTAAAGAAAGCCACTCATTTACTATTGAGAGTTTTTTGTAAGAGACGGTTTTGCGAGGTTATGGCGGATTGTAAAATATTAAGGAAGTTTAATAAAATGCAAACGAACCTCGAACTTCAAGTAATAATTACTTGTTAAGTATTCTAAGAAAATGAACATGTTGAGATTTAAGCTACACGTCGATTCTATAAAATTTGTTTGATTTTGAATCTTGGTCCTAGCTTCATTGACGAACAGACTGACAGACTACTTTTCTATTTTGACGAATGCCACATTTAAAATGTTCAAAATGTTGCGGTCAATCTAGTTCAACTGGCAAGTGTAGCGCTAGTGTAGTGTGTAGAATAAAGTCTTACAGAATCACACTGCTGAATGTATTCAAATTTGTTTCACACCTACGTGGACACAAATAATGTCGCATGTAGGGTTCAAGGACAAGTATAATTAAGTATTCAACACGAAAATTCAACGTGAAACTAAAATACCGTTCAGTAGTTATTCATTTGTATACAATTTTGAAAGTACCTCTATGATTTTTCTCTATGATATTCTATTGTAGTTAAAGTTTTGCTGAGGAATCATAACATAAACTTTGGTACAGACATATAGTTTGGAACTCGAGAAAGGTCATAGGATTGTTTTTATCCCAAAAATCTGCAGGAAATCACTATCCCACGCGAACAAAGTCGCGGACAAAAGCTAGTATTTTATATAATATTTTCAATTTTAAACGATTCTCATTGTGTTGAAGTCCGGAGATAGAATAATTGTAGGTACTTTTCAATAGGTTTAATTACAAATGGAGTCGGTCGACCTTCGTCTTACTTTGAATAATGAATTTACTTTCTGTTTGTAACGGTCACGTAAAAACGGTTTCATTTAAAACAATACCGATTTAATTTCTTTGAATATTTTTAAAATGGTTCTTTAATTAAGGATTATAACGATGGGATTAGAGTAGATTGTTAAAATTCTAGAAAGTTAAAAGTTAAAAGACTCTAAACCTCAAAATCTAAATGTAACTTCTATGAAATGTTTAAATTTGAGAAGTATTTGACTATTTCCACTAATACAGTTTTTAAATTAAATATCAAAAAGGAGACCGCGGTTTTATTTTATTAGAAACGTTGCCCCACATTAGGATTTTCACCTGTGTCGTTTACAAACATACAATTTCACATACGCATCCCACTCAGACAGACCCGGAAAAACAATTTATGGATCACACAAGGAGTCATTCCGTGAAGGGGTCGAACTCGCGGCACGTTGCGCGGCAGTCAGTTGCCCATCCACCTCGCCAACAGTGCAGCCAATACATATTACACTTTAATGAATTATTCTCAAAATCATTCTTCAGGACAACTGCCCACTTACGCCGAACCCTGACCAATCGGATCGTGACGATGATCGCAGTGACAAACGAGGTGATGCTTGCGACAACTGTCCCCGAAGGTACAACCCTGGACAAGAGGATACTGATGGAGACGGCATAGGAGACGTCTGTGATCCTGACATGGATAATGACGGTAAGTGTTTTTAGTGTGGGAGAGCCATGCTTAGGTATGAATGAGCTGCTTCGTATGGAGTTTGTTGTGTTTGAGTGAGGCTATTAAAGGCCCATTCCTTTTCGTTCCCTCCTCCTACCCCAATCTCTGAAATACTCTTCGGAAAACGTCGAAAACGTACTTGAAACTCATCTGGTTCCGCTGGTGTTTGTGAGCGGCGCCGATTGCTTATTATCAGGTAATACGTCCTCTTCTTGACGCCGTGTCACGTAAAAAGTCATTATTGATGTTGATAGAGATAGCGATAAGTGATCTTAATTTACAATTAAAAAGTGGGTGCATATATTGCGTAGGCATTTCATGTATAGAGGCTGAGAGCCGTAAGAGCCAAGAAGAACCAAGGATCAACCAACGCTCTTTCGCAAAGGAGGTCCACAGTCCACTGTCTGTCATGGGCTAAGGAAGTTTTTATAAAAGTATTACCCGCGAAAAGTTTCTGCAAATACAACAATTCCTAGCACAAGTAAAAAATAAAAGTTGCTACAATGTTTAGTACATGTCACTTGATTATGAAGAGAAAAATGATTTGATACTAGCTAGACCTTCATTTCATACAAAATAATACTTTAGATACTTACAATTGAGTTTGGTGATACTAATATCAAAATCATAAATCGTTTTGCTTGCAAATTGGTTTTGAAGCGTTGAAATAGACTTGTAAGCCAATTTTGTTTGTTACCGATGTAATCGGATTGGAGCGTTGAAGGTTACGTCTGGAACAATCTAAGCTGTCGAAGTCTGTTAGGTTCTTATTTTAAATCTAAATCTGAAATTTTAATAGAATACTTAATGTAAGATCCACTAGGCACCTAAGTGTGATAAAAAAATAATCACACGATATTTTCATCTCTACATTAAACAAAGTCGCTTTCTCTATCCCTAATATCCCTGTATGTACGTATGATTAAATCTCTAAAACAACGCAACTGATTTTTATGGTGTTTTTAAACAAATACAGTGATAGAAGAGGAAGATTTAATAAATAATGAAAGAATGAAGCTGGAGTGGATCGCTAGTTGTTGCTAAGATAAAATTAAAATCATTTTAATTTCTTTTACACAGGTATACCAAATGAGATGGACAATTGTCCGCGGCGCTATAACCCGGCTCAAGAGGACTTGGACAATGATGGCGTTGGAGACGCGTGTGATAATTGTCCTAGGATACGCAACCGAGCGCAGGAGGACGCTGATAGAGATGGAGTTGGTGATGCTTGTGATAGCGATATTGATAGGGATCAGTAAGTCAATGATTATCATGCTATGCATATTCATTGGTTATTTATAGTAACATTATAAAGCTGTAGAGTTTTCTCGCGCCAATCTCCAAAACAACTGGTTCGAATTGAATATCTCTTTTTGTGTTTATCGAGGCTTTAGTTATTTATTTAGGCCGTTAAAGAAAGGCAGGCTATAAAACAATACGCTACAATCAGTAGGAGCCGATCAGCGGTTGAAATCGTGAGTGAGTAGCTATCCTGATATGAGAGTAGTTTTTTGCTTCAAGTTGATGTAAAGAGAATCTGAAGATAATGATGATGATGTTAAAGAAGAACTGCGTACTACATCTATTTCAGATAACATGTTGATACTTAGATGCCGAAAAGAAATACTGGATTTTGTGGAGTATTTCAAAACTAGAAAATATATGTAGGTAATAGTACTTTCCCTGAAGATAACACTAGTCTATAACATACATATAACACACTGACTGTCCACAAAATAGATAGAATAGTTATACAATATCCATTAGGCACATTTTATTCATCAGATAGGAAAGTGCTTAAACTGAAATTTATCGTCAGTTTTAGAAAGAATTATTCAAACAATGAGTAAATCTGACCTGAATATTACAACCAATTACAATCTTCTAGGGACGGTATCCAAGACAGTATAGACAACTGTCTAATGGTACCAAACAGTGACCAGCTGGATGTGGATGAGGATGGCATAGGAGATGCTTGTGATGACGATGATGATGGAGACGGCATCCCTGATGTGCAAGACAATTGTCCTTACATCAAGAATCCTGATCAAAAAGATTCCAACAGTGAGTGATTTTAAAGTTTTTATTGTAATTTGTGCCTTTAAACTTTTGACGTGTAAAAAAGATACATTAATTAGTTCTTTGATGACCATATTTTTTGAATATATTGTATTTGTTTGATAGGAAATTTTAGTTTTAACATAAGATCAAGAGGATAAGGAAAACACTCCATTGATTACTTGATTAGAGAACAAAAAATTATTGGTAACTATTTTGCATAATTCAGTAGTTGAACTCAAAATCTCGCAATTTGAGCATAAGATCGAAAAACAAATCCATGGATTTTTATTTGATACTTTATTTCCTGCCTCCTAGACGATGGAGTGGGCGATGCGTGTGACAACGACTACGACGGAGACAATGTTATCAACGAGCTGGACAACTGCCCCAACAACTCCAAAATATTCCGCACTGACTTCCGGTAAACAACAACATTACAGTCTTGCCTTCATTTTTCTTACTAGCACTTTTTTACTGTTCATCTTGCTGTTCATCATACATCTCTGATAGTTACGTGGCTCTGTTCATGTTCATCTCGTGTTCTGCTTTATAAAGTTGTAAGTCATGTAAAATTTGTAGAAATACCTTCCTCAAAAGTCGAAAGTCAAAATCATTTATTTCAATTAGACCCATACTGACACTTGAACGTCAAACTAAATTTTAAAGATATAAAGTGTCAGTCTGTCGGTCAGTCCTCTTAGTGAAGTTTGCCCGTTCTAAAGTGTAGATTCCGATGGAGAAGAACGAGCTAGAAAATCCATGGTTACTCTTTTAAATATGCTTCCAGGATTAAGATCTTCAGATATTAATGAAATAGTGCTTATGAAGGATAGTGGTAAAAGACATAATTTTGCACATGAAGAATTGTCTTTAGTATTTCTTGAATATTCGATTTCTGATGTAAATTTGATAATTTTATCATAGGGCCTATACATATTTTCATCACCTCTAATCCTATGTTTTATCATAAATCTCATTATATCAATTAGGTAAACAAATTTAAAATACTTAGCACGTGAAAGTGTTTTAAAAGCTTTCACTAACGCCTATCTGATGCACCTAATGGAATTCTCTAGAAGTTTAGTTCTAGAGTGAGAGAGTTAATGGAATTAAAGCGTTGAACACAAGAAAGTTTCAAGTCTTACGTGAGAATGTGTCTGATTTGTAACTTAGTTTGAAATCTACCGTTTGTTTTAAAAAAATCAAAACAATTAGAAACATCTGTTTGAAACTTTTTGACATTTTGACTGCACGGTTGGCGCGTTGGCTGGGCAACTGGCACCCGTCCCACGTGTCGCGGATTGGATTCCCGCACGGAACAACTCTTTGTGTGATCCACAAATTGTTGTTCCGGGTCTGGGTGTGATGTGTATGTGAATTTGTGTGTTTGTAAACGCACCCACGACACAGGAGAAAATCATAGTGTGGGGCAACGTAAAAAAAATATCAACGTAGGTGTGGTCAAATCTACATTATTTGCATTTCGATAAAATTATAATTGGATTGATTGGTATCAATTTAGCATGGTCAAGGATATTTCTCTATTACTTATCGGAAAAAGAGTTTTGTTTTCTAATCTTTTTTATTTTGAATTTATTTCTTTAATCAGGTATCTTATTTATTTCTTCAATCTGGTCAGTAACAATAGAAAACTTATAAACATAAAGTACGTTACTAGATACTTTAAACATAAAAATAAAACAGTTCGGTTTATTGTTCCAAAATTCATTTTAATGTGTGTAGTGTGTATCAAAGTTCTCCTCATAAGTAGCATAAGATGTGTTAATATAAAAACACTTAATTAAAGATAATCGGTCAAATAACACGTGACTTTCTCCGCCATTGCAATTGCGTTAAAATAAAGTATTTTATATGACCTTACCATTAATATCAACGAGCTATACCATCTCGACAACCCATATTAAAGCTACAAAAGTAAACAGACCATATAATGAAAATACGTAACTAACAACTCCCTTATTCCTAGGAATTACATGACGGTCCGATTGGATCCTGAAGGTGAGTCCCAACAGGACCCTAACTGGGAGATAGCGAATGAAGGTGCAGAGATACTGCAGACGTTGAACTCTGACCCTGGCCTAGCTGTCGGCTTCGAGAGCTTCAGTGGTGTAGACTTCGAAGGGACATTCTTCGTCGACACACAGATCGACGATGATTACGTGGGATTCATATTTGGGTAAGAATTTTTATGTTTCATATCTAGTTTGGGTGTTGTGGTGGATAAGGCTGGTGTTTTTGAAACTGCAGGGTTTTTAGGTTTGGAACCTAAATGTGGTGAAAAAGATTATGGTTTCTTAATAAAGCCAAACTTAACGTGTCTGCAATTCTGCGGCTTTTAGTCTCATGATAGGTGTCTAGTAAAGATTAGATTTGTTGCATTTCATTATCATCATTACCAGAAAAAATTATGAGCATTAAGTCACCACTTATAATTAAAAAATTTAAGCCCAGGTATCCTCACGCTATTTTACTTTTCCGTTTGATTCTTAAATGATTTTAGAAAATTAATATGACTTGGAAAAAGTTACATTGGTACTTAATAGGTCAAAACCAGCATCCTAATGCAAGAAAAGCAGGCGTCTTAACCTTTAGGCCATCAATCAATATGGCATTTAATAATCAAACAATATGGTACAAATCCCCTAGAGCTTAGTATCAACAAGCAGTTTAATAACAGACAGACAGTGATTAGATCGATTTCACCCCATTTGTATACAAATTCCCACAATTCTGGCAGCGGTTGTAGGATTAAAATATTTAGAAGATATTGTTGTTTCGTCAAGTCGTAAAAATGTGGAACGGCCGCACGCCGCCATATCTTTTTTATACTTGCTGAATTTATATTACTTGATTAAATAAGACTACTACTACTAAAACAGGGTTACTTACTTACGTTTTACTGGGAATATTTTTCCTTTAGCTTTCACTTGAAAAATGCTCTGTTTATTATCTATTAAGAAGTTCAGTAATATCTATATTTCCTTTTTTTTGGCACCACTGATATACGGTCAAGGAAAACACCGTGAAAAAATCTGGACTTGTAATTTCTGATTATTAGTTTGGAATTCTCTGTTTGTTACTGCTAACAAATTAACGCTTGATGCAGTAGCCAGACAACTGGCTGCTGTGCAAAGTGTGGCCGGTCCGATTCCCGCACGAAAAAACACTTTGTGTAATCTACAAATTGTTGTTAAAGGGCCTGGGTGGCCTAATGCTCAAATCCGATCTGTGTAAGAAGAGGCATTTGCTAAGCAGTGGGTTCATAGGTTGATTAAGACGACGATGTGTATTATTTAATAAAAAATATAATTATAACTATTCAAGTAGTATAAAAAGTAGCTAGCTAGCTTATGTATAAGTAAAGTATTTTTATAGTAAAAATAGTTCTTAGTTCGTAAACGGCCCCATATCAAGTGCGGTGATCGATTTGTGAGCTTTGATTGGTTTCATTGACGCTAAGCACGGTCGTGCGTTCTACGAAATCTTAACGCTTCTTTTACCACTTTTATATAAGTTCCCGTAAAGCTTATGTGTCATAGAGTTCATACAAATTACTTTCTATATTCAAATTTATCTGGTACATAGGTATATTTACATATTAGGTTTTCCTGAAATGTGTCCCCGTGAGATTGCCGTTCTGTAGTGTCAGGTCACAAACCAAGTGCCAAAATTTTTTGGTTTATTTTTCTTAATAACGCCACAAACGGAATATTGTTTTCCAAAATGCAATAGTAATATGCAGCTTTCCTAGTGCCACCTTTCTTTCTATACAGAATAAAATCAATAATACTTTCCGTATACATAAACTAAAAAAATATACGGTCAGTAAGAATCTGTGCTATCTGATTGCTGTTTGGACCTAAAGCATATGTATATATCAAAAATCCCCCATTGTGAAACAGGACCTAAGATACTAATGTTAACGATATTTTATATTCTTTAAAACTGGTAGAGAAGTCTAAAGGACAACCAGCCATTGACTAAGCACAAGTACATGACCAATTTTATCCTTATTTTGCACCAAATACAGAATACTTTGGCGTCTCCTTACTATGTGGTTTATTTCTAACATATTGTTGTAATTTGGGAATATAAAGAAGTATTATGTAAAGATAATACTAGGATCATTAGCGGTATGAGACAAAGACGTTAGTTTATTATTTTCTTTAAGTTAATTACAGATTTACACATATCAGCCAGTTAATCATTTAAGAAGTAATCATAAAAGTCTAGAAACACGATTGTAATACCTCTGAAATAACGGGTGTCCACCACAAGTTTTCCATCTGTTCGTAATCCCTTATCCCATAAAAGTAGTAGAGTATTTCTAATTTATTCTCCCACTCTAGCTACCAGAATAACAAGCGATTCTACGTGGTGATGTGGAAGAAGAACACGCAGACGTATTGGCAGACTACTCCATTCAGAGCGGTGGCCGAGCCAGGCATACAGCTGAAGCTGGTCAACTCAAAGACTGGTCCGGGCAAGACACTCAGAAATGCACTCTGGAACACAGAGACTACGGCTGATCAGGTAATATTAGTAAGAAAATTGGAGGTTCTGTTTTCCTTCAAATCTATAAATCCACAAAACGAGCTCCAAAATCCAAATAACAGATCCTTCTTTTAATAATTTCTCTGGTGTTGGTCTCAAATAGTCCATATACTAAATTTTAGCAAGCAAGTAACCTTATAGCTTTTGGAGTACTCTTTACAAACGTATACCTCCCATTTTAGCGCTTTAGGGACTAGAAAGGGATAAAAGTGGGAGAGACAAGATTTGGCTGTTAAGTTTATATCATATGGTGGCGTATGTCACTTACCATTTAAAATTCTCAATCATCACAGTAGGGTAATAGGCCGGGAGTAGTAGTGCTTTTTAAGCGATTATGTTTTTTATCGTCCTATTTTGTCACTTGCTACTTACATAAGCTTCTCCCATTAAGCTCGATTTTCGATTTTTACTGGTGACAAAAAATGTTTTTAATCCGAGTTTCGAATCCCAAACCCTGTTTCGGCAGTTGACCTTGCTCGTCGACCCATTCGGATTTGGCATGTCCGCCAACCCACGATACTATTATTGTTACTTTGTTTTAAGGTTATTGTTTTGATTAATTTCATTTTGTTGTCCTGTTATTTAAGCTTTTTATTGTATTTTTTTTTGTTCTTGGCCTTCATGACTCGTTCCTAATAAAGCAGTTTTTTTTCTTTCTTTCTTTCTTTCCCGTCTGAAGGCAAGCTGATTTCACTAATTATAGTTTGCGCTCTATTGTAGATACGCAGATAGCTGGAGCTAAAAAACAACGCTTACAATTTTCATTTTCATATCGATATCATTCCATCAGGTTACATATGTACATACCGGCCAAATAAAGTTTTAAAATCCAATATGAAGAAGTTAAATATAAAACGCAAACATTACCGATACACCCGGCGTCCATATTTAACAGTAACCTTATTTATATAAGCGAATCAATTAACATGTTCATACCTTCATATTTCATTTCCAAATGGGGTTGAAATTCAATTGAATTTTACGATCAAAGTTTCGCAAAACTCTGTTTTGAGGACAGAAGTAGTTCTTTTTTGAACGCTTTGTCCCATCATCCCATCAGTACTAGTCACTATTAAGTCAGTAGTCATTACTATCACATATTTGCGTATTTGCTGCATATTTGCGTATATGTGTGGGAGAGCCATGCTTCGGCACGAATGGGTCGGCTGGACCGGAGTGATACCACGGCCTCATAGAAAAAAGGCGTGATGTTACCACAGCGTTGCGTTTCGACCTGTGAGTGAGGTTACCGGAGGCCCAATCCTTCCCCAATCCCTCTTCAATCCCTAAATCTCCAAATCCCTAATCCCTAAAAGGTCGGCAACGCACTCGTATCCACTCCGTTGCGGATGTCCATAGGCGGCGCTGATTGCTTAGCATCAGGTAATCCGTCTGCTCGTTTGCAGACCTAACACATAAAATAAAAAAATAAAATCTAGTGTTCTATTTTCTCTTTTCTTTCTTTTTTTATGGTATAGGTCCACAAAATTGCTCGAATTACCCGATGTTAAGCAATCCTATCGACTTCGTCTTTTGGAGATGAGGGTTTCGGAGATGTAGGAAAAAATTGGGCCTCTGATAACCTCACTCATACGGTTAAACATAAGGCTGTGATTATTTCACTTCGTTTTTCTATAAAACCAAGGTATCGAAGAAAAACATTTTCGTACACTGAAAACCCTATAAAGAAAAACTATATCTATAAGCTAAAACTACACAAATCCATAGTCTAAACTAAACTCGTGTCAAAGCAATATTGAGCTCACTGCGAGAACAGACGACAATACATATAAATTATAATGAATGCGGTGTAAATTGCATTGCTATGTACACTGCATTCAATTTGCAGGCTCTAGCGATGACACGTCCCATGCGGGTCTGTCACTCATTTAACTAAATTAGTGCTTGCAGCACCTGGCTTGAATAAATTTTGTTATTTTGATGTAAGATTTTGTTCAGTGGAATTTGTATTAGGTTTTTTTTAAGTTAGGTTATTCTATTCTATGTGTATGTCGTTTCCGGAAATCCTTTCTTTTTCCCCACATTCACCAAAAAATCTAGAAAATATTTAACTCTAACTCGGCTTAAATTACATAATTTCTTTGTCATTAAAGAGTTTATATTATTAATAAGATCTCTTGTACAATGCATGTACTAAAACTAAGCACCAAACAAGTCCAATCTGTTTTCAACATTTTGAAATACCTTAAAAAACTTAAAATCAGTGTCAATAATCTCAATAACAAAATGCGTCTACGTCATTCCTCAGGTGACGCTACTATGGAAAGACCCGCGCAACGTGGGTTGGCGCGAAAAGACCGCATACCGCTGGCGTCTACTGCATAGACCGAAACTTGGTCTTATCCGACTGAAAGTATACGAGAATAATAGACTAGTGGCTGATTCTGGCAATGTATACGACTTTACTCTCAAGGGAGGACGGCTCGGAGTGTTCTGTTTCTCACAGGAGATGATCATCTGGTCCAATCTTGTTTATAGGTGTAATGGTAAGTCTCTTTCTCTTCTTCTCTTTCTTTGACCTTTCAATTGGGTAGTTTCCTAGGTCAAAAATAAATTAATTCGACGTTTTAATACAATAAAATATTGAAAAATAATTTTATTCATCGATCGATCGATACACTAAGCTTTAGATTTTTTTTAGCAAATTTTTAAGAAATAAGTACCTAAGCTTTTTGACGCAAAAATGTAATGACTTCATAACTCAGTTTTTAATACAAATTTTATAGAAAAGTATCGTTTTTGACGTTTGGATAAAAGTATTAAATTTGACTAGTTGGAAACAACCGTATTGTAGTAATTAGAGGCAATATTGTAGTAAGGCAATTTAGTTAATGAAAGGGAGGTAAGTTTAATAGAATTGCTTCTATGACAAAATCTGCCGTGGTTGTTTTGGGGTTTGATCTGACTGCACGGTTGAGGAACCGGCTGCTGTGGAAGGCGTAGATAGTTTAATTCTTTGCGTGATCCACAAATTGTTGTTCCGGGTCTGGGTGTGATGTGTATTTGAAATGGTATGTTTGTAAACGCACCCTCGAGACACAAGGACATGGCAGTGTGGAACGACGTTTAAAAAAGGAATTAATAATTTGCTCTTTTATTTATCTATGCTCCAAGTTTGAATTTATTCAACCCAGTCCTGGCTGCATCTATTTGTGTTAACTTAATTATATGATGACAATAACGTATTTTAAAACTGTTCCTACATATATCGTATCTACACAGTGAAAATAAATCACAATATTCCATGATATTGCTTCTGTATTAAGTGAATAATATTTTCAAATTCCAGATAAAATCCCCTCGAACATAGCGTCGGAGCTATCGTCACGGAACAACTTCGAAGTGGATCACGATTTCGTCTACGTTTAGACAATAACAGTACCTAAAAATAATCGAGTAACATTTCCACTCGCTTCAAACAAAAGTACCTTTATAAGAACTTTATATACCGCAGGTTGAATAAATAAAAAATGTTTTATTTAAAAAAAGGAACCATTTTTGTACTAATTTCTAGCTTCCGCCCGCGGCTTCGTCCGCATATAAAAAAATTGTATTCCTGGATTTTAAGAACTGCAGCGTTTAAAGCGGTAGCTTGACTAAAATACTTAATTCAAGTATAATTTTAAGCCTATAGCACTCGGGAATATTGTAGCTATCTATCAGTGAAAGACTTTTGGCAATCCGACCAGCGGTTCCAAAGATTACCCCCTACATACAAACTTACAAATTTTACCTCTTTGTAATATTAGTATAGAATAATACGTAATCGTACGTAAACTGCCGAGTATGTCCACTCAAAATGTAAAAAACATGTTCTGCGATTGTATCCATTGAAATCTGAACCTTTTGTATTCGATGTGAATTGAATTTCGACTGTGTGGATTTGTGTAAAGTACATTTTAGATTTAAGTTCTAACATTAATGTAATAAAGTTGACATTTAATTGTTTTGTTTCATTTCATTCCAAGTTGTTCCAAAGTAGATGATGTATGTTGTTCTTTTAACAGTTCAATGTTATACGGCAAAAATATAGCTCACATTGCAAGTGTGTCCAGAATTTTTGCATGAGGTTTCATATTTGGCTTGCAGAAATATGACCACGTTTTCAAATTTCGTAACAAGCTCTTCGAATGCCTACTTCAAATCTCGCTAATATGATGAAATATCAAAGACATTCTAATAAAAATAATGTGCTCCATTTTTATTTAATGGTGTACGTACAATAAAGAGTTATGATTTAATACTAATTCATAACTCTTTATTTTCGGGTTTGATTCCCGGACGGAACCACTCTTTGTGTGATCCACAGATCCGGGTCCAACTGGACCCGGATCTGTGGATGGTGCATGTGAAATTGTATGTTTGTAAACGCACCCACGACACAAGAGAAAATTCTAGTGTGGAGCAGTTTTTCTAAAAAAAAATATTAATTTGTAAGTGGTGAGTATGAAGCATGACCATATGGTGGCGGTGTGCCTAGCCTGGTCTAAGTACCGGCGTCTCCTCAGGGAAGTGATCGGCGGCGGCGACTTATCGCGCCCGGCCTTAGTCGAGACCATGGTGCGGAGTGAGAGAAACTGTCGCCTGCTGCGGCGGCTGCAGGCGAATGTAGGTGACACCCCGGGCGTCGGATATCAAGCGTAGATTTCCGGCTACAGTAAGCGCGGGTCTGCGGCGAGCAAGGGTAGCTCGCAGCCCGACCAGAACCAGATCCGAGTTTGCGACGCGCGTGCCTCATTGATCCAATAGACCACCACAAATGGGGCGCATATCACGGGGCCAATGCTTAGCCGAGGTCCCGGATCAAGCGCAATTACGTACCGTAGCCTCGGCCTGTAGCACGCGAAGGAACGGTTTTGACTCTCCACTCGCCATCCCCTGCGAGAGATAACATTTGGTGATTTTCCCAACACAAAAAAAAGTAGTTATGAAAATCATATATTCATACTTTTCTCATTTCTATGACACCGACAACGACTTCAACGCCATCAAAACAGCCTTAAAATTTTAGAAAGAAGAATGTCTGTTTTCGGTTCCAAAACGTCAAGTGAAACAAAAAATATTTAGATTGGTTCTATTTTATTGACAGCGTATTTGTGAAATAATTTATAATTTTACAGGAGTTTTCAAAAAAACATGGATTTCCAGATGGGTGATACTGAATTTCAGCCCGTGGCCTTGGACGAGATCATAAGTAATATGTCAGAAACAGATAATTGCACAATTGACGATCAACCAACAAAACTGTCTACTATAGCCGAGGTGTCCTCAGAGCAGATTATGGCCGAGGAAAGCTTGAGCGACCGGAAGCTAGAGGTACCGTCCGCCTCGTCGAGTAAGTCCAAACACATGACTGTCAACAGCGAGACGAAGTCAAACAAAGGCATTCAGGAGTTCGTGAAGATCCTGCGACCACACCTGCCGAGGAAGTCGAAGAGTAGGGCCTACAAACTGTTGCAGAGCATCGCTAAGGGGATGGTGGTGGAGAGCTCATTCCAGCGGCGGATTAAGAAGAAGAGGACACGGAAGCTGACGTACCGCAAGCAGACTCGCAACACGAAGACAAAGTCGCAGAGCGGCAAGCGGCGCTCGCTGCGCAGCCTGTACGGCTCGTCGGAGTCGTGCCGCTCCAGCGCGTCCCGTCCGCACTGCTACTCCTGCTGCAGGATCACGAGGTACTGACTAGGGAACATGAGGAAACTTCGCACGTTTTTCTAGTACTTACACGTTTTATATATGTATGTTATTTAGTTTTGATAATTTTTTTAGTCTTTGTAAATGTTTATGATAATTTTGTAAAATTAAAATTGTTTTGCTATATAACTAGTTGTTTGCTTTCTATTAGTTTACCTGCTACACCGAAAAAAGATTTAAAATGGATATTTAAACAAACTTTATATCATAATACTTTGTGATCTGATTTGGCTGGATAGTAGTTTTGCAAGGTTTCATTGTAAAACTGCTTAAAATTCTCTCATTGCTGTAAACAGCAAACATTATGCTGGGAGTTGGATATTTCTCGTAACTGAGTAACTTTTTTCATTTACGTTTAGTAAGAAGTACCTATCGTCTGCATCTTTGTTAAGTCCAAGAACTGTTCTTGGACTTGGAATTAGTAAGTCGGGTAGAGTTTTCTAATCCAGCGGATAAATCTTCAAAAAAATTTAAATAGTAAGGATGGATTTTTTATAAATTTTCGTTTATACTTTTCCGCCAGTTCGTCTTTATGGTGGTTAACTTAAGTTTTAATACTTTCATTGATTGAAATCTGTCTCTAACCAGTGGACCAGGTGACGTAAAAATACAGATTTAGAAAACTGCAGGATTCGGATGTTCAGTTCATTATTTCAGATTGATCACCTTCGTGAAAATATAGTCCATCGTAGCTGTAGAATTATTCTATTTCTATGCTCTGGTTTACGCACTATAGTCGTCTTCCGTTATCAGCTTTCTTTTGAGAAATTTCCGAATTCTCTCTGAGTTTACTAGAACGGGTCTGAATTCAGTCAGCAGTGGACTCAGCCCCTAGAAATGAAACCTTAAGTAATATAGTATTTTAAGAGACTACTTGATTAATATTTTAAAGAACTGTTCAACAAGATTCAAAAGAGTCGAACTTATAACGACCTGAAAATTAATAATATTCTCGTTTTCAATTTGCTCGGCTTTTGGCATTGAAAATATTACTTAAAAAACGTACCGAGTTACTGTGTGTTTACTATGGGCACTGATACGTCCCCGCTGCAAATTTCTTATGCTCTACAATACGCTCAACAATATTGATACAAATAAAATAGGTATAGGTACTTTTTTGTGAGGGAAAAATCACAGGACTCCTCACTCAGTTTGTGGGCGATAGGGTGTCACTCTTTAGTGATTTGAATCCCCCCGTTCCTTCTGCTGCTATAGGCCGAGGCCGCGGTACCTTATTGCAATTGCCCCGCAACCGTATCCTAACTATGCATTTTTTTAATAAAATACTTTAATGGCTCACAATTCGTATAAAGTTCATTTCACATTCACATTTGTATAATGACAGCGCTATCCTGTAGCTTCTCTGTGTGTAAGGTCACGTGCTACTCAAATAGCACTCTCGATTGCAGTACTTCATAATATCGAAAACGGTACGTATTTTCCGTTATTACATTTTATAGATCTTAGAAAAGATTTTATGAATTTCACTATATAAATCTTAGAATGCTTCTTCGTAACATCTTTGAACTTAGATACTTAATAATGTCAATCTTAATATAAAAGTTTACTGTAATTCTTCATCAACATCCAAAATAAGAAATATAATGATATTTCTTATTTATATTCATATTTATAGAATACTAATTATAATAATATCATTTGGCTGCAACATCAGCGTTGAAGCTAAATTATATTTAGGCTATTGTTGAGTGCCTGACGAGATGAACTTGATTGCCACTCATATAATAAACGAGGCGATTAAAAGTAATGAATGTCTTTATCAAAAGCTAATTTAGATCCAAAATATCAATCATCGATCAAGCAACATAGAAATTTTATAGAATTTTTAAGCGATGAGTGAAACAACACAGCATTGTGTTTCGCCGTGTGAGTGAGGTTACCGGAGGCCCAATTCTTATCCTTCCCCAGTCCCTAAAACTCCAAAACCTTATCCCCCAAAAGGTCGACAACGTACTCGGTAGGTCGGTAGGAAAAAGATTTGTTGTAGGTATAGAGTTTCCGCCAAAAACCAAGATCGATCCAGAGATTTTTGTAGGATCATTTTGCAAGACTACACTTTGGGATATGTGTATGGAACCACCGCAATTTTCTAGATACAAAGTTAATTTATAATTTGTAACCAACAATGAAATCCTCCCAAACCCTGGAAAGAGTAAGTGTCAATTACACTGTATAGAATTTTCGCTGTTTTCAAAGCACGAAGCTAAGAATTCGTACAGACTTTTTGTTACCAACGAAAAATTACTGCCTTACTTTGTTTAGAAATCTTCCCACAACTCCTACAATGTCCATAATACTTTTAATATTTACAGAATTGCTATATTTAATTGTGGGAGAGCCATGCTTCGGCACGAATGGGACGGCTCGACCGGAGTGATACCACGGCCTCACAGAAAACCGGCGTGAAATAACCACAGCGTTGTGTTTCGCCGTGTGAGTGAGTTTACCGGAGGCCCAATCCTTCCCCTCCCCCAATCCCTCCTCAAACCCTAAATCTGCAAATCCCTCATTCCTAAAAGATCGGCAACGCACTCGTAACTCCTCCGTTGCGAGTGTCCATGGGCGGCGCTGATTGCTTACCATCAGGTAATCCGTCCCCTCGTTTGCCGACCTATTACATAAAAAAAAAATATTTGAACAACTAGCGGTCGTCCGCGGTTCCGCTCGCGAAATGTGGCATTGATTATTATGTTTATAGACGTAGATTCATTAAATAAAACAAAATGCTGAAAAAAACTTCGTAAAGCTGTTAATTTGCCTACTATCGTTTGGAACTACAGGCAAAGTTATGTGTCCTTGACTTTCTATTGAAACTTATATAAGCAAATTAATTTCGTTGTAAGTAAATGTTATAGGTCATTATTAATGCGTTGTAAATCATATCTTTGGTAGTTTCAATTAAATTTGTCTCGTCATCAAATGAGGTTTCTCGCTTGCGATATCATCGGAACGTTTTCAGTGAATCCGAATTATTAATACATAACTACCTAAGTATTACCTTGTACAGATGTGTGTGTTTCTATAGGTATAACATCTTCCCAATTTACGCAAGAAGGTAGTTATAGTCAGAAGGTATTATACACGGCTACCTAATTCAGATAAATAATTATATCGTTTAGTCTTAAGTTTCGAATTCAGAGTTCATTGAGTAATTTTGTTATTCAGAATTAAATTTTTGACGTCATCTTGAAATTGTTAGACAAATTACAAAAATACTAGAAATGATTTTTGTGTTCTATGTAGTTTGGGCAAAAAGCGCTTTTTATCTTCAAAATAAGTACTAGTATCACTTAGTTGACCCACCTTCTCACGTCTCAGACCCTTATTTCTCTAAAAAGGTGGTATATAGCAGAACTAAATTAAAACTTACCTAATAAAAGTAACAGCTACAATCCATAAGCAAAATCTCTGTAATTTATCATCGGTGATATAGCATAATGATTTTCCCTCATGACTTGTTCCAATATTTGTTTTTCATTACATTTATTGGAAATGGTAATTTCACCTTGTGTATCGGGTACTTACGGTGTTTGCGAGCTTCGCATAATGCGGATGTAAATTCCTTTGGGGGGAAACCCAGTAAATATAATCCAATCAAAAACATAAATATGAAAGGGGAGCCAAGTTCAATATTATGATAAATGCCTTGGTTGTTAATTGACTTCAACGACAAAAGAAGTGAGATCTAAATACGAGTAGGTGCCAAGTTCAATGGTCAGTCCTGAAATTTATTTACAAGTAACAGTATAACATGTCTTCTTATAACATAAGATAATGTATTGTAGCCTAAGTTCTGATTTGGCGAGTTTTCATAAATCTCCCAATGAATTTACGATGTTCGATTGCTAGTTTCTATCAACAATCCAAATCAGACCGTGCTTTTTAGGAAATATCTTTGCATGGTTTTTTTGAAGGGAAAAATCATTAAGAGTTCTCTCACCTTGGTTGAGGCGAAATGGACTGTCAGAATTACTGATTAAAACCTCCCCCAGTCTTTCTTCTGCTCAGAGCTGATCCTGCGGTGTCGGGTGTCCTGTATATGGATATACATAGGACAGCAGTGTCCTCCCTTGCTTGCGAAGAACGTCGACAGGGCGTCGCTAGAGTCGCTACTTACATATTTTGTCCCTTAAGTTACTTTTTTAAAACTTTCTTTCAGAAGAACCTTCTGATAATAACAAAAACAAACACAAAACAAAAGAATTGTCCACACTGGCCTAGCCATTTTTGCGTTGTGCGCTTACCAATACATACTTACTTCATTTTAATATTATAGAATAGTTGTTTTATCCACAATTTTAGTTTAAAGCTATGCCTATTCACTTGTTTTGAACGGAATTTATTGAACGTTTATAAATAGGCAAGCTTCTATTAATTAACATTTGATAATTTAGGCAATCCATTGCAAATAATTACGCCCTGGCGGTCGGTTGGACGGGCTAGTAAATAATGATTGGTGCCGACGTTATTAAGTTGTGAAATCGAGCATCGATTACGAGCACCAATAAAGTGGCGATAACTGTTCACTGTAGTTTACAGACGATCTACAAATATTGGTATATCACCCTTTTATGGCACGTTTATTGGTTTTCCAAACTTGATGTAATATATTTATTTATTTACACTTTTGCACCTACATCTGTGTACAAGGTGGACTTAATGCCATAGGCATACTCTCCCAGTCGAACCTTTGGGCGATGCAGAGATAACAGTACGATAATAATATACTGAGAATATATATATATATATAATTATAATTAATATATATATATAATATTATTATAATATTTAATATATATATATATATATATTATATATATATATTTAATATATATATATATAAATATATATATATATATATTTATGTAATATCTCGGCACACGAGCAGACGGATTACCTGATGGTAAGCAATCAGCGCCGCCCATGGACACTCGCAACGGAGGAGTTACGAGTGCGTTGCCGACCTTTTAGGGATTAGGGATTTGGAGATTAAGGAATTGAGGAGGGATTGGGGAAGGGGAAGGATTGGGCCTCCGGTTATGGTTCGGGACGCAAATAATAAAACAAACAAATTGTAATATCACAAATATAATATTTATTTACCATTGTACATACTTAATAGATATAACTCAGATGAAGTAGATTTTATCACTCTGAAAAATATTGAATAATGAATCGAGTCTAGAATAAGTATCCCAAAGGCATCCCAATAAGGATAAGTTTTGTCTTGATTAATTAAAACGTTGTGCTAAAGATAAAGATGATTCAAAGATATTAAAAACGATGAATTAAAAGTTTGTGCTGGTGAAGCGTCGACAGGTCGGAGGCGCTCGGCTCGCTCCCGCAACATTTTGGTAAAAAATAACAACTTTAACATTTACATTTATATGTACAATATTACATTATCATCTAGGTACTCTTCGTAAAATATTTCTTATTAGATAATAAACTATATGGAATAAAATTCATCTATTCGGAACATACAACTGAATGTCTCAATTCCTCGGTTCTACGAAACTCGTGACCATCGTGTTTGAAACGAAATTGTACCTTTTGTTACAGAATTATTTATGTATACCAGACTGCTGTAATAACAACTATTACATATTTTGATGTGACATTTTATAGTGCGTTAAATAATGTTTGAAATAATTATGTTTAATAAACAATATAATAAAGCTGTATAGTTTGTTTATTTATCTGAACGCGTTTATCTCCAGAATTACTGTTTCGATTTGAACGTTCGTTCTTATGTTCGTTAGTCCTTTAATCGAGACTATCGGCTATAAAACATCACACTACGATCAAATGGAGTCGAGCAGCGGTTAAAACCCCGCGAGAATAGCTATGTCATATATATTTCCATTGTAGCTTTTGCCATCTCTGAACCGTTGACAAATGTTAGGCGTGGATTGTTATAGCTCGCGAGTCTACGCTATTGGACATCGGAGGCAGTTAACAGCTTTATTTTTGCCAAAACTACGTAATATTTCCAACTAAACTTGACACTGAATGGCAAATATTATGTCGATACACCGTTTACGTACTTGCAAAATGGCTTATGTAAAAAAAAATACACAAATAAATTTGACTACGAAATTGTAGTTACGTAGGTTTTCAGGAAAAATGTATTAATTAAGTACGTACAAAAATTATTGCTTCATTAATATAATATCGCCCGACCGAACGCTAGCATGAGATATGATAAACCCTAGTAATTGTCTAATAAAATTAAAATAATTTATTGCATCACTTCACCTTAACAATACATCGATGCTTAACATTATATATAATAAACTTATTCAATATACAATAATCAGCTCCATATTATTTCATGATCTACAATTATATACATACAGAAACTAATGTTTTATTTCATTCATTGTACTGCAAATATAATAATAAAAAAATAAGTATGGTAAAATTTGCACAAAAAATATTTGGTATAATTGAACACATTGTGATGACCGTTATTGAGGTTGAGGGACGAAATAAATACAATATGGGATTGGGAATGGTTCGGGACGTACTCGGAGTCCAATGAGCCGTTTTATAGAAATGAAAATTTCAAGTGTATTATTAATAAAATGCTTTACAAATTCATTAATATATCGAATGAAATGGAGGAGTAATGAAATAAAAAGGATGATTTATTTATTAATGTGATATGTAAAGAACAGTGGTGACCCAATAGCCGCGCTGTCAGTGCTCACTGTATACAAAGCGTGAAGAAGCGCAAATGTCCAACAAGTCCGTACATTGCTCCCCTGCTACAACTACAATACCTAATCATAAACGTCTCTTATAAACCCTTTTACTCTGACAACAGTATTTACAACGTGAGCACTAGTATTGTCGATTGTCTTTCCCTTAGTTCTTATTTCTGAACCGTTTATATTCTGTACAATAATTCATATATATCTCTATACACGAACCTCAGAAGTAGGATCGTTTGTAATAAATATTAAAAACGATCCTTCTTTATAGATCCGATCTAAGTGAAACGAGTACGAAATGACATGCATTGGACCATGTATCTACAGACGATATATTAAATAGCGACACTTGGCGTATTTACAGCTAAGTATAAAATCCCTCTCAACGAAGAAGAAATATAGAAAAGATAGAAGTGAAATTGAACCTTAAATGTTTATAACAAAGTTCATGTTTGTGTAGATAAATAGATAAGTAGACAGTCTTCGATATTGAAGCGTGAAATGAAAGTTTAAGAGACAGCTCAACTGAAAGATTGTGTGAACAACATTCATTTGTTTGGTAAGCTCGGCGACCGTACAATGAATATTGCTCCACAACCTGAAGTACTATGAACGAATCCTGCAGATGTTTACGTAACAAAATGTAACAAAATCCCTTAGTATATATAAAGGTAGTAATTGAAGATTCCGATATGGTAGAGTTTAGAATTGTGTTCAATTCAGTCTGTTAGCATCACACAGAACGAGAGTATCAACTAGGTAACATTGAAAAGGGTCCCAAAAGGCCTACGAAGGGCTCTACAAGTTCGTCAAAAGTCTATCGTTAAGTTTTTGGTGTTAACAATTATTATGGCTAATACTTCACTAGGTCAGTGCTGCACTGCTGGTGGTGCTTCTTCAGCAGCTGGGGTCTTTGGAGGCTGTATTTGTTACCTGGACAACAAATAAATTGCTATAAAAATATCGTATAATTAGTATATTATTGATGATTAATTTTAAAACATTAAAATATTAGTGGTGTTCTTAAACAAGTGGGGTCAGTGAAGAAGTAAAAAGTAATGTTTAGAAGTATTTTATAAATCTGGTTAAGTTATGAGGCTACCACTATTGTAGGTAAAGCTGGCTGTAAAATACTAAGAACTGAAGATAAAGCTCGCTGCGTTCAGCAGTTGAACAGAAAATGATGACGACGTTGATAATGCAAGAAAGTAAGTAAAGAGAAGTACACGTGGGAGAGTCAGGACTTAATTTTTTGACTCGAATAATGATACAAAGCCAGCCAGTGAGGTACAATGGCCAATATTGCCATATAGGAGTCAAATAAAAACAACGATTGTATTCCTATTTGCCGTGAGGGTGAGGTTATTGGAGCCTGGCGGATAATGGACCTTACCAAATCAAATTTCTTAACTAAAACTTGTAAGTGATGGTGATGGGCCGAGTATATTCCCAAGTCCTTCCTAGAGCACTATAAAAAGATGTCGTATATTATGTATACTGACCGGGTCCTAGCACATGGTCTCAGGGCGGGCGGGTCCGGGCGGCTGCGAGGGCGGCTGGTCGGCGGAGCGCTGTCGCGGCAGCTGCGAGGAGTCCAGCACGATGGAGGGCCGCGGCGGCAGGCTCTCCGACACCATGTGCGACAGGGACAGCTCGCTTGATGCGTTCGTGTCGCCTGTTCATGCGGGAGATACGGAGACAATGTATGAATTATTACTTTTTATATACGAGTTATGTGTTCGTTTACTAAAAAGTATCGTTCTGAATTTTTTTTTACTACTTTTTCGGGTACATTATCACCTTATGTAATAAGAGACTATAGGGTGTACAATAGGCAGTCTTATGGAGAATGTATAACAGGCTTAATATGACTTGTAACAATAAAGTATTTATTAATAAATAAATTATTAGGTTACACACAACATCGCTCCATGTGACATGGCGGCGATGCTGCCTTAGAACGTTTAAACTTGAAAATCCAGTGCAACAAAAAATCCTATACTAGACGAATATATCTATTATTATATTATTACTAAAAAAATAAATATCGATAGTATAGAACTGGCTGCATTGCAACATGCCGCGGGTTTGATTCCCGCACGGAAAAACACTTTGTCTGATCCACAATTTGCTGTTTGGTGCCTTGGGTGACTTTTGTATGTTTGTAAACGCTCCCAAGACACAGGAGAAAATTCTGATGTTCGACGCTCTTTTTTATTTTTTCTAACTTTATAAAATTATGGCATCTTACGTAAAGCTGATGATGGACAACGTCTTTTCGAATGAGATGTACTACTTTGACCGTCTTTATCATTCAAATATCGTAAAATATTTTTTATAGAGTATTCTTTTATTGCGCATACCAGAGGGTTGTCGGGGTACAGGCAGCAGCACTTCTCCGCACGCGTCGTCATCTAGCAGCGGCTGCAGCGGCGACGGCAGCTCGCGGCTGTCTATAGCTGACGACCGGCGCAGCGAATGCCTGGTGAGGGTTTATGGGGTAAGAAATCATCTTTTATTTGTACACTATTCTGTTATGTGACTGGGGCTGCTTTCCGTCCGAAATTTTCCGAAAGTCCTAGTTTAAAGGACGTTGCAGGTATCATCATCAGACAGGGGTTTTTTGTCTGAGTTACAACAGAATATCAAAACAGAAAGTTTGTAAAGCTAAAATAGACTATTTAAGCTCTGCTCAATAGTCTATTTTATTTGCTCTATAATTTGAAAAGTGATCGGGGAATAAGCGATATTTTGCCTATAGGACCGAGATTTATTCCATGTTTATCCAGCGTGGCGTGGCAGCTGGCTCTAGGGACGACCCATCGGATTTTGATCCTATTCTAATTTAATAAGGATGAATACATTTGCAATAAAATACTGCATAGATTTCTATTCCCTACTGTAACTTACAAAGCAAAGCAAGCTAAAGGAGAGGAAAATATTCAAGAGTTAAATTATTTAGATTTGTGAAATTAAATTTTCAACACTAGAATTCAATTTAGACTACAATGAGAAGGAGATGTTGTGTAACTTTACTTAAGGAAACTATTCATTTCACGTGAATTTATTTCATGTGTGGGAAACCTTGCTTCGGCACGAATGAACCGGTTGAGTGACACCCCGTTTGTGTTTTCACATGTGGGCGAAACTAGCAGAGGCCCAATACCCATACTATATCTTTTAAGCCCGGCAATGAGCCTCTTACTGCTCTGCTGTTAAGGACGTCAATGGGTGGCGCAGATTGCTTACCATCAAGGGATCCGTATGTTCGCCTACCTTATTTTGAAATAATTGATTAAATTTAAGGTAAAGATCATCTTAGAGATTATTAAAATAACCTACAATTTGTGGGCCTGAAAAATAGAGCGATTTAGAAACTACCTAGCAAATTATGGTCGGTTTTCCAGATCATTAAACCTTGATAGTTCTAAAATGTTCAGAAAGACAAGACATTTGGTCGAGGACGGAGACATTCTTCACAACTTATAAACTTTATTAGAGCCATTTGGAGTTTGTTGACATGCGCTTGTACATACCTCTGGTGCGGCAGGCGGCGGTCGCTGACAGTGAGGTGCGAGGATGTCTGCGGCGGCACGGTATGCTCGTCTCCAGCGCTGGTGTTCACGCAGACGCTGATGCTGATGCCGCTGACCCCGCCCCCGTCCCCTCCTTCCCCACCTTCGCCTTCCTCCTCCTCGTATCTGTCCAGACCACCCATTTCTAGGCTACAGCACAAACGGCTGTTGTAATAAAGTTCGAGTTCAGGACGCTCACAAAAGCTATAAGCCAGGGCCGAAGCAAGCTCAGCGCTTCTTCACATCCTTGCTGCACATGTAGTCCAGTGATGGAATTATGATGAGGTCCTGTTGTCGAGTCTTAATTTCCGAAATGTTTGGCTAGATTACGTTAAGGATCATTTATTTGTTAAGAAAGCTTGAGCTCTTTTAAAATGTTATTTCTGAATACAATTAAAAATCATTTTAGAATCCTACAACAACTGTTTAGAATACCTACCTCCATAAACCAACTGAAATTTGTAAAACATTTTGTACCATATAAAAAGTTATCTCTACTACGTCGAGTGTGACACGAATAGTTTCCACTTGAGAAACCACATCAAGGTTTACATCAAGAAGATTTAATATCACCGCTTGGGCAAACAGTTCGGAAACTTCGGTGTTTGTATCGTCATTATTGAGACCAATATGTCGTTTAACCTCTAAAGTTTGTTGGGACGAAGGATCTATTTAATAATTGTTTTAGTCTTGAACTCGAGACATCTAAATCTGTGGATTAATTTGTGAAGCGTTGGGATTGTTGGAGTACATTGACTATTTGGGTGACCAACTTTATCAAGAATGTCAATTTCATTAATGATTTAGGTCTTCTAGTGAAATGCTATGTTTATGCTGAGGATTGTGAGTAGCAACAGTGAATAGCACTTTATAATATTCATGTTATATTTTAGTAACACGTGCGTGATGCAAAATGAAGCACTTGCTACAAACATTACTCAGCTTATACATTGTGATTTACAAATATGCGTGTGTTACCCTCCACCATGCTTAACAATTGTATGTAATTGAAAGCTATGCATTGTTCGTCAGCCTGCTTCGAGGAGACCACTCACCGCCTCTGGATCAAGTTCTCCATGATGATGTAGTCGTCTTCTTCTGCTCCTCGAAGATGTTCTTTCTCCATGAACAAGGCGAACTCAGGGTTGGACATCTCGCTGGCGTGACGGCGACGAACTGAAGGAGAGGCCGCTCGCGCCGGCGAGAGGAGGCGAGAAGTGATTGGAGTCCTTGGGTAAAGAAAAATATGAGAAACCAAGTACATAAAACAGGTGATTGTCAAAAACTATACCTTTATACTTCGGGTAACCTCCTTACCTCGGCGTATGCGGTGGTGAGAACAGCCCATATACAGTTTCCAGTTCATCAGTGATGCTGGTATACTCGTGCATGGCTAGAAGCAGGGATCGAGGTGCTCCACCCACGCGACTGCGTCCCGACGGGATGCCGGTTGCACCGCCCGTTGCTTCCCAACCAGACTGACGGCCTGATACAAGGTAATAATGTGTAAGTATTTACAATTCGATAGGAACAGTAATAATGAATTGAATTTTAAAATTAAATTAACGTAATCACTCTTTTTATAGTCCCTGTCTAAACATATTTCCAAAAAAATCGTGTTAATAATACTTACTAATTACTAACTAGAACCATTCGAGGAAAGCTGGACTAGTTTCAGGACATACTGGGACACATTTTAATGAGCTACTATTGAACTATTGTTAAATAATAATAATACTTGTTCCTGTGATAGAGTTGTGCACGGAGCCGGCATCCACCGCAGAGTTGTCAGGTTCGGAGTGAGTCTGACTGTGTTGACGACGCGGCGCCAGGTGCTGCGTGGAGTAGTGCCCTCCCATGCCGCAGTCATTACCGCCCTCCGAACGCCTGGTAATATCACATCGTTTTACACCTTCCGTTTATTATGGTTTTGTCTTTAGTAAAAGATGTGCTGACTTAGATAAAATCATATTATAACTACTTTCACCTGTTTCCTAATTTCACTCAGAGTTTATTAAATTCTATTGATCTGTAAAAGTCAGCACATCTTTGGCAGTAAAATATTAATGGTCCACAAGAGAGTGGCAGATAATGTGTGCAGTGGCAGTTTAGTAGAAGTATGTTGAAATCTTTGTTGAAATAAATCAAAGTGGTAATAGTTAAGAAGTTAGTAAGTAATGTGAAGACAAGACAACCGAAAGTACAACAGAGAGCAACAGTGACGTTAGAAGATTAAATAATTATAATGCTGTAATATTTATACATAAAATAATTTCCAATTTAGACAAAGCTTACCTTATGAAAATGTTTACAATACTTATCAGAAATCGGAAAAGCAAATGTTGAAGGGAATGAAACTGAATATTGTGGGAAATGTTTTCGAATTGATTTCATGTGGTATTTTATGAAAACGACAGTTGATCATAGCCAAATAGAAAGTCCAAATATTGTTACGACAGAAGTAAGATTTGATTCGTGTTAAAATGTACAGAAAAGACACAGATGCTATAAATAAAATTGCGTCACATTAAAAACCGTGTCGTGTGTGACTGTCGATAGTGCTTGTTAATGCTAAACAATAGTTATATTCGAGCGTGTACACAAGCTGTAGATAAGTGAATGTTTATTATATTATACAGTAAGGCAACTACGTCTAACTACATTCGCTAAAAAGCTAAGCCAATCGCCAATGACTCTATTTGACTTACTGTTTCCACAACCGTCTCCTAACAGATGCAAGAAGGTAACAAAAAATAAAATTAAAAACAATCATGGCGATGATAATTTTGGTTTTTGTACAAATAAACACAGTAATTGCCGATTTTGTGAATGAAGAATATAGAAATGTGTGGGATTTGGTGGCTGTGGATAATGCTGATGATGAACGCATTCACGAAAATCGACAACTTTTAATATTCTAAATTTACTATATTCTTTAAACCTGTTATTTAAATCTAATAATTACAACGTTTTTCAGATTGCTACTAGCATTAGTGTAATCACAATACAAAGTTTCTGTCCAGAGCGGCCAAAACTCCATCACAAATAGTTGTTTCAAAATCAAATCATGAAGTAATGGTTAATGAGAATGGCAATTAAGAACAAAAGGTAACGCGGTCATGCTTCGACAATATAACGTAGCGCTCGGAGCTTGCACCTGCTGATGCAAGTGGAAAAACACAACTTTATAGGAAATCTGTTCATAAATTATATGAATTGTACCTAGGGATAGACAAGATGTTAAATGATCAGATACAGATAACGAAATAAAATCTTAACATTGAACATGTTTTTTTTATATTACCAGTCTGAAAGGTTTCAATTTTAATACCCCTCACTTTAAATTTATTGATTGATGATTTGCATTTTAAATATTTTTGTATGAAAAAAGTAATGTCTACAAACATCATATTGATTTATGCAAATGTAGGAATTATTAAACAGATCCCTTGTAAAGTCGTCGAGGTTTTTGCACTTACATTAGCATGCGCTGAACCCGTCGTTGGCGCCATCTGGTGGCGACGGTCCTATTACCATGCCTATGTTATGTATTCGGAAACTTTACGTAATGTTACGGTCGTAATTTGGTTGTTCCATGATAATAATGGTATGCACATGCTCTTTCTTCTTTGCGTGATTTTGATGACTCTATCGATCTCTTTGCGTACCTTATTAGTGACATGTAATTGGTGCCCAGACTACACTAAGTAAACATGTTTAGTGATATTTAGTTAATGTTATCTTTTCAAATGGTTGGGCAGCGTATTTACATTATTATTGCACGTTCCTACGTATTCTAAGTTAATCCAAAGTACGGCCTGAACATTGTTGGAGCTGGAATTAAACTGGAATCAATTCCAGACGTTTTCATTTCATTGGCAATGCGAGTTATCATGAAAGTTTTTCGGACGTGTGACTAAGTACAGTTTGTACGAACACCTTTCAAACGTGAACCATTTTAAACAAATTGTGGTATAGCTTACCGTCTGGTGTTGGCAGTACGTCTGGTTCCCGCAGAGGTAGTGCGCGGGCGCAGGCTTTGTAGATCTGCTGGTACCTCGCGCACTTCTGGCAAGAAAGCGTCATCTGTCGACGATGCTACTAGACGAGGAGGTAGGTATAGATCTAAATCGAAAAAACACAATTTTTAATAAATTCTTCAAATCTATATGGACGTACAATTTCTTGCTTTCTTAGTCAAATGTTAGCTTTACCTTTCTTCTCATCGCTAGGTTCGGTTCTGTTGCTATCTGACGACCTCTGCCGGGCTGGTGTAATGGGTGGTTGTGCTTTAACCACAGTTATATTAGGACCTGCATGTCCCTCCCCTGATGATGTTGATATAGAGTCTGCTTCTGGCTCCTTCTCTGCTGCGGCTTCAGGACCAGATTGCGGCATTTCATCCTGTTAGGGTGTTGATGATAGAGAGTGAAGGAAAAAAATGTTGCAATAAAATCTTGGGTGATGTTTGTGGACTTGTACGTTTTTTTTTTTTTTTTTTTGGTTTCGGTTTGGAGTGTCCGGTAAGCACCTGCGTCAGCCGGAAGCTGAGGGCGCCGTGGCTCCTATTGAGCCACTCCTCTAGAACGGGCCTTACCGCCTCTATAGCGGCGTGCCCCGCCGTGGGTTGCGCTAAGCGCGTCTGCCACTCCGCCATTAAGGTCTGGCGGAGTTCTGCCCTGCGTGCCTCAATCTGTCGAGGCACCAGGCGCTCGCCCCGCTCGACTGCCTCCGCGCGCCACCAATAGAGCGACGCGAGGAGTTTTGCGTCGAGGTCCCAGGGCGGGGATTCGGCTAGGAGGCTCGCTGCCTCAAAGGAGATCGTACGGTATCCCCTGATTATCCTGACGGCCATCGCGCGCTGTGGCCTTCGCAGCGCGGCGATGTTGCGGGCCGTCAGGGCGTCCGCCCATACTGGCGCAGCGTATAACGCCATCGACCGTACGAACCCCATGTAGAGCCTCCGGCAGGAGGAGATGGGCCCCCCCTGGTTGGGCAGCAAGCGCGACAGCGCAGCAGCGGCGCCCATCAACCGGGGGGCGAGCCGTGTAAAGTGCGGCCCGAAATTCCACCGACTGTCGAGAACGAGTCCGAGGTACTTCATCGTGGACTCAACAGCGATGGAAACCCCTCCTACTATAATGCTGGATCCTTGAGGCGGCCTCATCCTCGGCCCATGAAAACACAGGGCCTCCGATTTGTGCAATGCCACCTCTAAGCCCAGCCGCCGGATCCTACCCACGACGTGCGCGACACCAGCAGTCGCGCGTATGGCCGCCTGCCGGTACGACTTTCCACGCGCTGTAACTAGCGTATCGTCGGCGTAACAAATGACACCGACGCCGTGGAGTAGCGCACCGCGCAGAGCCCAGTCGTAGCCAACGTTCCACAAGAGCGGACCCAACACCGATCCCTACGGAACGCCGCACGACGTCTCTCGCCGACCCTATCCTTCTCGACCCGGGTACACCACCGACCTGTCCGACAAATAAGCCCCGACAATGCGTTGGAGGTAGCGTGGCACCCCGTGATACCGGAGCGCCTCTCGGATGGTACTCCAGGGTAAGGTGTTGAAAGCGTTAGCGATGTCGAGCGACACCGCCAAAACCACCTCACCCCGGGCGACTGCCTCCTCCGCCAGGACCTTTACGCGCATGATAGCGTCCACCGTGGAGCGCCCCTGGCGAAAACCATATTGGTTGTCCGCCAAATCCGGCCCCACCCTGGTCATGTGCTGGACGAGGCGGCCGGCGATGATTCGCTCGAAGATCTTACACACCTCGTCCAGCAACACGATCGGCCTGTACGCAGACGGGGAGTCTGCGGGGCGCCCCGCCTTTTTGAGCAAGACCAGCTTTCCGGTCTTCCACCGGCTTGGGAACTGGCCCCGCTCCAAACATGCGCTTAAGAGCCCCGCTAGTCGGGGCCAGAGAGCTTTCATAGCCCATGCACGGCCTGGAATGCCGTCGGGCCCTGGGGCGGTGTTCTTGATGCGACCCACCGCCACTCTCAACTCTACCCGGGTCACTTCGGGCACGTTTTCGTCAGTCTCGTCTTCCGCGTTGGGCGAAGTACGAGGCGGAACCATAGCCGGTGGTGTGTGCTCCGGTCTCGACGGAAACAACGCACACACCACCTCCTCCAGCAGCTGTGGCTGGAGACTCCGGGATAGTGGGGGAATGGACTTGTACGTTGTTCGTTGCAAATATCTTTAGATTTTAACAGTATAAAAGTGTAACTCACAGTTTATACATTATGAAGTATGAATATTTTTTTGGAAATATATGTACAAGCACAAAATTTTAATTTCAAAACTTGTGTAGGTACACCAACGTGATATAAGTACAAAAAATTGCAAAGCTTTAAATATACAAATTATATGCAACAGTATACGTAAATCACTTAAAAGCGGTTACTACCAACAATGTAAATCTTTCCAACTAAATATCAATCTGAAAAGCGTAAATAAATAACATTAAAATTGATGAATATTTTGAACTAAAAATCTGCGTACTGAATCAAATAAACGTAAGCATAAATTATACGGTTCACGGTGCTGTCCCACACGACACAAAAGCGTATCTTCAGTACTTACTCGAGCCTGGTTTCAATTTCCCGGAACGCAATTACAGTATTATTTTAGCCAATTAAAATTACTTAGGTACAGCTAGTTCGGCTGGCTGCCCAAACAAACGTGTCGCCGACACATTCATGCCGGGGGAAGTTAGTCGACAAATAAAATTACAGGCGAGTTGGACGACAAAATAAACATTGTAACAAATGCTAAGCGTACACAGACTATTTGAGTTTTGTTAATTAAAAAGCTTCCATACAAAGCTGCGTATGTGCACGAAATAGGAAACCGTTCAATGTTCAAATTGAACTTTACTAGTTTCATCTTAGTATTCTTAGTGCTTTGTGTTTTCAACCAAATGGTTACGACTTGCCTGATGTATAACTGATATTTCACCATCATCGTCCTATTGTCCAAAATAAATAAAATTATCATAATTACTTTTCGTAAGGCTTCTTAAAGGTTTTTGGAAAAAGTTTAGTTTAGTTTATGGTATTAAATTGGTGCAAAGGAGCACAAGCCCTGTATGAGTTGTTCGGGCAGCTAGACGAGAGAGGCAGATGCTTACATCGGAGGGTCGCGAGATCTCGTCCTCCTCCTGCACCGGTCGCACGATGAAGCGCGCCGCGCCCGTGTCGCTGTCCGACAGCACCTGTCGTGACGTCACACATAGCTGCCTAACTAGCTCCTCGGTATAACGTCACCCGGAGATTTCTCAACACCATCAACTTGTAAATGGTCTATTCTAAAAGCTATTGAACTTGATGTGACAGCTATTTAGTATTATTTTGTGATTGAAGAAAATACCTACAAATTTTGCTTCAACTACAAGAGTACGAGTGTTAAATGTCTGCTTGAGAAAATAATTTCAGTTTCATGTAATTTAGAACAAACATCAAGATTTTAATTAAACCTTGATTTATAGTGGTAGTTTAATCTCAAGGGATGTAACTCTACAAGTTTGCAAATCAAACGGAGTTACATATAGCCATGTTGATCTTATGAACGTTGGAAGTTCATTTCTAGCAGCTCAACATGTTTAACTAATTAGAGAACATCTTGAAGTGGTTGAAGCTAATGAATATTGTGTGGCTGCAAGAAATGTTTAGTATAAAAACAATTAAACTCTGTTTGAATCTAACTTCGGAAATGTGGAAACTCATTTTCATTTCCATTTCAAAATTTCAGATATAAATTCTCGAGGTGAGTAAACTTCAAGCTGCAAAGTAGCACTGCCACAAAATACAATACTATACAATTTGGAGAAGTTTAACAAAGTTTTGTTTAACTTTGGGAAGTTTCTAATGCACGAGGACTTTGGGCGTTATGTTAGTCCGAGATGGACTTGTTAATGCATAACTCGATACTGTACATTGCATGTTAATGTAGAGTGTGTTACTACACTGCATATTGATAAGGTGTCAATCTCCAAATGACGCTCAACCAAAGTATACTAAAGCGGTAACAAATTGCCAGATGTTTGCCGAGACCTTCCACGTATGTTTAGGATGTTGTTAATTCGTATGGAAGACTGGTAAATGTCTGTCAATTTGCAGGTTAGGTGGGGGACACAAACATTGAATGAAGGACAAAAAGTTAAAAATTATATTAGCATTAACGAACGCAAGACATCGACATAACATGCTGATGATGAAACAGAAAACGTTGAGATTAGTGTCCTCAAGCATTCTTGTTGAGTACAATATCAACAACACATACTGAAATTAATGGAGACATCGAAAACAAATATCGAAAGAGAATTGAATACTTATCCAAAAAAAATACTCGACTATAATTATAACTTCGGAAAAATCAATAACTTGCACCTATAAGGTTGGAATCGAACCAACGTTATAGGTATCTTTATCAAAAAATATTGGTGAAAATCAATCAGAATACATAAGTGAAAAATTTTGTCATAGATAATAACTACAGAAATATACTAATAAATGTTTGTGTGTTTAAACAATTAGGTATATTTAATTTGAACTTACCTCAGAACGGTCACTCGCAGTCCGGAGCCTTGCTCCTCCAGCTTGGAAAGAAGGTGGTGGAGGGCCTAGGGTATCTGTGGACCCTCTGTTCACCAAGGAAGGATGTGTTGCCATGAACCGGTGAATCACCGCTAAATGATTCATTGTCTGCTCTGCCACATCTTCTAACTTTCGTAACCTAAATTCTACACTCTGGAAACATGATTATTGTTAGTGATACTGTTTTAAACGTTTACGTGTGTTTCGTTTTAATTATATTGCTTACCTGCACTGATTGTATTTGGCAATTAGCTTTTTGATTCAAGTCTTCCATTTTGGTCGTGATATGTTCTACCCTATCAGTGGTGTTCCTCACCCTCTCTTCTATAGAATTTGACAATTTAACTTCCTGAAAACAAATATGAATTTTAGTAGGATTAACTTTATTAGGACATTGTGTGATATGGTTTCTTGTTAAACTTACTTGTTCCCTAAAATATCCTTCAACACATTCCTCTTCAAAATCATACAACCTTTCCATATCTTCCTTTTCTAAAAACAATTTGAGCCCATTGTCGTATTGAAACCGTTTGTGCGATACGTTTCTGGTCACCCATTTGCCTATTGCATATATGTGGCATAATGTTATCAACGGAGGTGGCAACACTGGCTTCTGTTCGTATTCCATCACCACTGTGAATCTTTGGAACATCCACACCTGGAAATTGGTTGGATGACTTAGGACAACTAATTATACTTAGACTTTTTGAACATCTCTCTAGTATTACTAGTATTAAAAACAAATGTGGATTACCCCTTAAAACAGAGGGTGAGATAAGGGTAACTTATATTTCAAAGTTAATACAACAAAGTTTATACCATTGATTGGGAAATACTCGTTTTTTAGTAAAAGTATTTTGGGTATAACATAATACAGAACATCTACCATGCAGAATTTGTTAGAATCACCATTAACTGGGGCAATGGACCGTGATTCTAACAAATTACGGAAAAAAGCAAATTAATGTTACACGATTAGTTTTCCGTGCCATCAATTGTATTTATTATTAACAAAACTTCCGAAACTTTTCCCTGGAGGGCTTCAGAAAGAATATAGCTTGCTTAACTACGTAATTGTTGTCTAACAATGTTGGTACGGACAACTAAATAAAGCAAATAAAGAAAAATAAAATAAAAAACCTGATGCGAGACTTCATTGACTTCATTAAATATATTGTTAAAGACTGCAATGAGTAGGTTTATGAGTAAAATGTTCGCGACGAGCAAGTACATGGTCATCACGACGGGCGAGATCCACCTGCCGGTCACACACTTGGGCTCGCCGGGGTTCTTCCCGCACTGAGGGTCGATGTCTGGAGCGAACACCTCGCCATACAACATGAAGTACGGTTGGAAGAAGATCTACGGACAACGGGAGCTCAAACTAAAATACCACTCAAAATAAAATATTAAAAAGGAACAAGTTAAAATAATAAAGTGGAACCAACTTAATGTAATGAGAAACTAAATAAATAGTAATCAACTGAACTAAAACTACCCAGGTGCTAATCTACTCAGGATGACGAACATTACCTACAACTACAGTCGATTATATGCACTTTGTATTAAAGAACTATTTCTATCACTTTCTCAAAATTTTGTTGCTACAAACCGTTCAAAGCTTTATGAAGAGATCTAGAAAGGATAAGATTTTTTTCTAATACAAAGTGTGTATTGATTAAACCGTCGGCCCCCAACCGTAAGGTAATCAAATCTCGCAACAGGCACTATAACAACATCGAAGCTACGACAGATATCGAGTTTGCCGCAAACCTGATGCGACACACCGTTGACTTCAATGAAGATGTTATTGAAGACGGCTATGAGAAGGTTGACAAGTAAAATGTTGGCTATGAGCAAGTACACGCTCATGACCACGGGTGGGACCCAGTGGCCCACGCGGCACTCCTCGAGGCCGGGCAGGCCGCAAGGGGGCGCCATTTGCTCAGCGAACACTTCTCCGTATAGCATGAAGTACGGTTGGAAGAATACCTGCAAATGTTAGTAGATATGGATGCTAGTTTTCACAGTCATTGTGTCAGCGTGTTTATGATTGTGTTAGTTTTTCTGATGTTTCTATAATTAAAATGAATGTGGTACAAAAATATGTAGCATAAGGTCAAATTTAAAATATCCTGGTGCGTAGTAAACACGTTTTAATTTCATGTCAACCAAACTTGATTGAAACAGCCAGTCATTATATTCCAATTTCAAAAACCTCTCGAACGAAAGTCTCTGGATTAAGACCCATTTTATAAATAACGTTTATAGAGTTTGGTCGAAGTTAGTTAGTGAGTTATAATTAAAATTATTTTTCTGAAACGTTTATATATTTGAATTGTTTATGAATTTCAATTGTGTCATAAAGTACGAAATGTAACGAACGACTTACTTCTCTAATTAGATGCCAACTTGCTTCTTCATCTGGGTATAAAATCGCTTGCCTCGCTACACCGAACGACATTAGCACCACCAGTAATAGCACCACGAAGTATATCATGTTTTTAACCATCTTACCCATCATTGTGACTAGAGGACCTGGTAATATGAAGAACATAATAATATATTACATCTACTCAAAATATTTTAATCACTATAATACAGGTTTATTTGTGAAAGGACGGCGACCGAGCTGATGGTAAGCAATCAGCGCCGCCCATGGACACCCGCAACAACGGAGGAGTTACTCGTATGAGTGCGTAACTCTGAGCAAGAGCCATGCTTTGTCACGAATAGGTCGGCTCGACTGGAATGATCTACGTCTCCGTAGTGCCCGAGTGAGATTACCGGAAGCCCAATGACCAAATCTCAGAATCCCTAAAAAGCAGGCAAGACACCTGTAATACTTATGGCGTTGTGGGTGTTAATAGGCGACGCTAATTGCTTACCATCACTTAATCCGCTTGCTCGTTTGCCGGTCCTATCACACGAAAAACGGGCCTGAATAGCTGAAAATTTTCCATTAGCAGTTTTGAGACAGCAGTCAAAGTAATAAAGGAGGTTTTTGAATATGATAAAGATAATATAATTAAATGTATACTTCTTGAACTTTTTGAAATATAAATCTATAAGGAATGGACTGATGAACAAAGAAATTTAGCTTATTCTCACCTAAGTACTTATTAACTCCCAATATATTCAATATCCTTAAGTACCAATAAATAATATCGACGCAGTAGATGACCCTGCCGACGTCCATGGACACTGACCTGAACCTAAGGGTCAGGCCGACCAGGAAGAATATTATGAAACCCGCGTCGTACGTGTTCCATAGATTCCACGCCCACACGCTGAACTTATGTCTGGAATAAAAAAAAAAAAAATTAAAAATAAAACATTTCCACGCACACATCAGTCTAAAAGTGCACACTGCTGAACAAAGGCCTCTTGTCATACGGAGTAGGTTCGAGCCAATGATATTATATATATATTAACAGATATGTATTGTTATAAGCGCGCAAAAGTGAAGACTCGAAAAGGATACAATTCTATGCAAGTGCAATAAGTCTCTCTTAGAATAATGTTTGTTTACGTTGAGTACGTAATTGATAACAATAGCTAATTCGTTTTTCCTGTTTTATTTATCATACTATACTTTTTCTTTCTTTCTCTACAATTTCACTTGTGGTGACACGTACAATTGGGTATTTCCCAGGTCAAAAATAAGTTAATTCGACGTTTCAATGCAATAAAATATTGAAAAATAACTATACTCTTATTCATCGATCGACCGATACACTAAGTTTTAGATATTTTATAGCAAATTATTAAGAAATAAGTAAACGATTTGACGCAAAAATGCTATAACGTCATAACTCAGTGTTTCATACAAATTTCATAGAAAAGTATCATTTTTGACATTTGGATAAAAGTATTGAATTTGACTAGTTGGAAACTACCGTATTAATGAAAGGTATGTGAGTGTGCTCACGCTTGGCGCGGAACACATTTTTCGTGCGTTTTGTGAGGGTATAACATATCTGTGTTAATATAATATCATTGGTTTGAGCATTGTACCACGCTTGCTCAAGGCGTTATGGCGATTTTAAACTTATAATTAAAATTTATTAGATTAGTTTTCTTCAAGCTTTATTATTAGGTGTAAACTTAAAAACTAATATAACTCGGAAAAGTCGCATTGGTACTTGTTGAACCTTTCCGCATGAGAAGCGGGCAGCCAACCTTCGGGACTCCACGACTTTATTTACTTAACTTTCCTAAGTGTATTTAGTAGGTACGTTCCTTAGTCAAAATAAACTGCTTTAACTTATTAATGCATAAACTTACAAAAAAAAACACAACTTTTTCTAATCGATTTTGTAATAAGCTTTATCTGAAGGTATATGATAGGTTAGCTTAGGTTGATCTGTATATAATTATGAATAATAATTGTATTTTGTGATAAATAAATAAATGTTTCTAGTAATTAAACTCCTATTTCTCCACCACCCGAAGGTAGACTGGCAGAGATCGCCTCAGGCGTTTAGCCCGGCATTGTACATTGTGCAAGTAGAAGTAGAAATATATAAATAACATAATTTACAAGAAATAAATATGGCATCTAACGCTTTAAAAACGTAACTTAACGATTCACAACCTCGTAAAAAATTCATCGGAATATGACAATTTTGCTAGTTCAAAATAAAAGACTGTTTTTGATGACTCAACCACGCACGCGATTTAAGCTGAATTTATAAATTATTTTAATTCACCCGTACACTGGCATCAGTTTAGTGCAAACGCGAACCACTAATTTGCAAACAGAATATAAATTTTCTAGATAAGCATTGTTATATAAAATACTAGATTCCGCCCGCAGCTCCGCACGCGTATACAAGTAACGTATGTATAACCGAGATATAAATGTATAGCCGAGATTTTAAAATAGCAGTATTTATAGCTATACATATATGGTTCGACTAAAATTGGCAGATCAGTTAATCAATTTAATTGAATTATTAGTAGTAAAATTTATAGCCTATAGCATTCAGGCACATTGTTAACTTAAATAAAATTTTGGAAATCCGACCAGCAGTTCCATAGATTGAGAGCTTACAAATTTGACCTATTTATAAAAAAATAATTGTTATTCAAAAACAATGCTTATAACTTGTAATATTCGGAGTTTATTTAGTAGGTATCCAAAGTTAGAATAACTCGTTTAAAATCGAAATTTGATATTGTTTTCAAATGTCAGAGACTTTCAATAACAAAAACAATTTAGTTTGATAACGATCCCAAAATTAATAGTTTTTGATTTGCTGCTAACTGTTAGGTATTTCATTATAACTAAAATCCACTTCAGTACAGTATTGGAATCGATTTTAGCATCGTTAAAATAGATACCTTTGTTTTAAATTGAAAATCAAAGAGATTTGGGACAAATACCTAGAATTTGGAAACATTTTAGTAATAGCTGAAATTTTCATTGTAATATGGATTCTTTGCTTAGGAGTTTAGTCGTCGTGGCCCGGAGATTGAGGCGACCCGCTTCTCACGCATGAGGGTGCGAGTTTAAAACCTCTCAAGTACCAATGTGTCTTTTTCCGAGTTGTAATACTTATATGTATTTTCTATGATTATTTAGATACCACTGGCATACGGTGAATCATTATCATAAAAACATCGTGAGGAACAAGGTTTCCTCTCGATGTTTTCTTTCACCTTTATCATTTCTTATTATAAGTTTGTAATCGCCAATCCGCCTGGAGCAAGCGTGGTGATTAAAGTTCAAAAGTTCTCCGTTTGATAAGAGCCCTTTGCTCAGAAGTGGGCTAAGCTGATGATGTGATGTGATGTACTTAAACTTTATAGAAACAAGCAAAAATTTATCTTTAGGTATCTGTTGAAAATTTAATCAAATCCTTAGTAAGCTTAAAGGCCACACTGAAGGATTCTTTCAGGTTAACCTACATTGTCACATGTTCACAATAATAAAATAATAACTTACCTAATAGCAACAGGTTCGGACGTAATAATTTCCCTTATCTTCTCACATAAGAACGTTAATATATAACATATAGAATAAATCTCTGGCCAAGACGGCGTCGGGTCCATTTTCACTAATACTGTATATGTAAACATCAATAGGAACAATATGTAGGCTATCTGAAAAGGAAAACGAAAACATTAACATCACAAAATATATAATAATTTTGTACCTTATGACTAGTTCTTTGGCGTATTGTAAGCACTGCATATGATTATTCATGACGCAGAATTTATATTTTAAACCTTTATAATATGGTAATTAGGGTAGGTATCTAGTCGTACTTTACTTTATATCAAGGAAGGAGTGTGAGCTAATGTCCTATAATTCTCAGTATAACAGTAACTTTGCCACGAGATTTTGACCAATCTAGATATCCAGTCTGAAGTATTAACAATTTAAGTGCCATTTTATTTGAGGTCAAAAATCATCAAATGCTTTCTCTCGCCCGTGGTGAGGTGAGAGGGAGTGTCAGAATCTAACTGACTAAAAACCACTCCGTTCCTTCACCTGCTCCAGGCCAAGGCCACGGTTTCTTATTGAGCTTGACCCACGAACCCGGCTAAACATCGTCCCTGTTGGGTCCCATCTATGATAGTCAAAAGGGTCTTTGAGGCGCGCATAGAATAGAAGTGCCCTAAATTATCATATTGTAAAAATGACAACATATACCTCTATAAAATATCAACAAAATTTGATTCGTTTGTCAAGAAAACATCCCCATGATATAATGACGCAGACGAAAACCAATTTATCTCAAATATATTCAAAAGCAGACAGATAAAAACACGCTTCGACTTAACTTGACACGGTAAATTGCATTTTATTAAACTCCTCTCTCAGGGTTTCAATATTCAACAAGCTTTTTTATTTACTTCAGAAAATTATGCTCAAAGGTTTAATATTTTGTTAGAAAACTTTAGTAAAAAAGTTATATCGTTTAAAGCTAAAATATTTTCTACAAAAATGTAGCATTAAAATAGTATTTGGATTGATGATTACTGAAACAATACAATTACTCACGAATACTATGTTGTATCGGAGTGATTAACTTCTTTTTGTACTTTAAAAATATTTCTTTACTTTTAATCGAAAAGAAAAGATTTTGTGAAAGAATACTTAGGGAAATCATCTGGGAAATACGCTTAACAGTATCCGTTGAAATCCGGGGCGGCGTGTAAGGCTATATAAATGTAAGGCTATTCGTAGTATAGCCGTTTATTAGTTCAATAAAAGTGATGCGGAAGCGAAATGCGAAACGATTTCATCGGGTGGATATTGATTTTGTCATTTACCGCTCACTGCAGCAACATACAGGAAAGTGGCCATAATTTACATTGATACCAGTACGTGTTCGAAATTAAAATGGAAAATTTAAAGTCTATTTAAGTTAACAAGCGTTAAGTAGGTAATTTGACGCTTGTTTCTTGCTTCTATACTAGATATAACAGTACTATCAAACAGGGGATTATTACACGTGTTCGATATAATAAAAAGTTAACAAAACTTAATGACATAAATGAAATTAATGACAATAACGGAACTGAGGTTGTGGTTTAAGCTTAATAATGTACCGCAGTTCCGGTTCACAGCAGGACAAAGAACGATGTGGTTTTTAGTCAGTGAGAGACCAACATTCCCTATCGTCTCATCCAGGAAGAGAAGACATTTGATAATTTGCACTCTTCAAAAAAGGAAAAAGGAATGTAAGTAACTAATAATATTTTGTATGTTTTATGAATCGCATTGAGTCATTGAAATTTGCCTCGAGCTGTATGTACATTTCCTAGCTAAAGTCACAGTTTCGAGCGACTCAATATAGTTCCTTAAATAAAATGTAAATTCTACGTTCAAACTGTATTGCAATTACAAATTCGCTTCATGTCAAAGAAGTCGTTTCAGCGAATTCAAGTTGCTCATTAATCGTGTACAACTTTTAACTTTTAGTTAGAGCTTCATGTTGAATAACACCGGTACATCGTTGAAAACCTATGGCACCGATTGAAATAGAAATACGCAAAAAAGTATAATAAATAACATCGGTGACATGGAAAAATCAAGGTTGGTAAAAAATACTCCGAGGAAGTCCATCCAGCAAGCAATGGCATGGAAGCAATTTCAATACAAGAATAATAAAACAAAAATATATATAAAACGGGAAACAATAAAGAGAAAATTATGCTAATCCTACAAATTAGCTAGGTATAACGGCAGACGGCAATTTTTCGACAATAATTGCTGTGGGTACACAGTAATGTGCGATTCCTTTATTCTCTGGATAATAAAAGAACGAATATCACGCTTTTTCGGAAACAAGGAACCTGGCCGTCGAAAATTATGGGCCCTTTGTGTACAAATTGTGCTTTATATTTTGTCGGAATAATGTTTTGGTTACGAATAAGGCAAACGAGACTTAATAATCTACTTATTTTATGTATTTCTTATCGATTTGATTAATATATTTAAGGTAATAGAGAATTTTTGAACAATGTTTTATAACTTACCGAATCGGCCCAGAATTTGGTGATAGGTGCCGTAAAGAACTCGTATATCTTCTTCTTGAGTCTCAGCGGCCTCATCATTTTGTCTTCAGGCGCGTGGGGCTCGGGCAGCTCTCTGTACGAGGGTTCCCACCCTATTTTACCAACTTTTCCGTTCTGATCGACACGAGTTTCGCATTCGGCCCCTGAGCCAATCAACGCCTGCTTGAGTCCAGACAAAATCGTATAAACGTTACAACAATATGTTCACACCGTAATAAAATAGAACAAGACTTGTAATAGAGAACATTCATAGAAAGCTTGAGTTGAACAGATAACAGTGACATAGATATATACGTTTGCAGCATCATTCTTCAAAGATCAGGCTAAGATGACGAGTATGATGGCAGTACGTTAGTACAAGGTCAAGACGCAAGCATGACAATAAGCAGAATATTGATACTAACAACGCATACAATACCCAGGTATAAGCTCACGACATCACATCAATCAAGTGTAAGAGTCCACGTTTAAAGCTGAATCTTAATAAAATCAACCATATTTGAGAATATAAACAATCGTAAAATAATTGTAAACGTAAAGCGTCGAACGATACGCTAGCAAATGCAGAAAATATCTTTAGAATATTGAGACAACAGGTTGAGAGATAAGAAATGAGAATAACAAAATCTAACTACGGTCGGTCCACGTCGTCGTAAATTGAAATTTTGTATAGGACAGAAAATTTTATTGTCACAGTTTAAGCTCCACCTCGGATTTATTTTAATTAAAAACGATTTAATTAGTGCCGTCATTATATTTTATGGCGGCACTTGGCAGTAAACCGCTGCGAATGTTTAGAAATTTCAAAGCAATCTGTTTCTTTTGAAAAGTCTTCCTTACAATTTTAATATCGATGTCTGAGTAAATTAGAAAGACGTCGTAAATTGAGCTCCTTTAGAGGGTCGTCTTGTACGAGAATGTACTAAGAGTGTTAAAATTCAAGGTGGGCCATAAACGAATGACGTGGCCCATAAAGACGGGCGTAAAGACAGCAAGAGGGTGAACTGAGAGGCTGGCAGTATACGGAGCGCCACGGAAGCCTACTTTCACAAAAAGCCATCGACGTACCGCTCAACGAAAATGTATTTGTGTGTGCACTTTGATGTAATACGAACACAAGAACGAATATTGTGTAAAGTGTAAAGAGTTCATGAAGACGACACATACAAAAATTACTGATTGTGCGAATTCAATGCTGTTGTTTGTTCTTGTTTTTTCTTCAGCTAAACACGCATTTAATTATGTGCGTTCTGGACAAATGGTGTTTAGTGGAACGTATTAGTTCTTTGAATCTACATTTCTTCTAATGTGTAGTACATTAGTGCGGTTTGTGTTCGTATCACAATAGACCAGTCGAGTCTCAAAGACGCGTCTACCTTCGTAACTTTACTCGGCTGTCCAGGCGGTATTATCTTCTTGATAGATAGCGTACGCCTTTTTGCAACTCCAACCTACATCGCAACAATCACATAATAATTTATTCTAAGAAACAACTTAGTACTAAAATTATAAATCACTATTGTCTTCTTCGCAGTGAGTGAAAATGGAATATGTGTGGTCGTTAATAATTCCATCACCGTTTGAAACAGGATAAGTCTCTTCACTCAAACAATTCAGCTTTTGTTATGCACGCTAGGTTAATGAATTCTCTCCCGCACAGTCGGTTTCTTCAACAAGATTTTTTCTTATAAATTAAACCTTCTGCAGAGGAGTTATGAATTTAAAACTCAAGCAAAGAGACAATGTTTATTCCTGTTGAGAAAAATGTGTAATGTTTGCAATAAAAGTGACATAACAAATGGCCAATGTGACGTAACACTTCCCATGTGAATGGTAAAACTAAGATGGTGGGCAACAAAACACGAAAGCTTACCTCAGCGTCATTTGGGTCCTTAGTACTTCTATCATCCTCGATGCTCTCGTTCTCGAGATGTTCCTCCTCGGTCTGCGGCATCAGCTGCAGTTCTTCCTTCGACTTGAACTCCAGTTGGAGAATGTACAGCGGACACAGCAGGCTCAGAATTACCTTCACACATCACGACAAAGCCGATGTGGCAAAGGAAACGTTCGTCGATGCTAACTCACTTTGACTTAAGCGGTACATGCTATGTTTCTAATTGAAACGGGGATTCGACGCCGATTATGTGCAAGTGAGATAGCAATATACTTCTTTAAAAGTATCCAAATTTCGTATGCATGTCTATGAGTCGAATTAAAGATTCTAATCTCTGTTAATAATTTGACACACATGCCTTAGTGAAAGTTGTGATTTTGGAAGATCAAGTTGAACTTGCAGAAATCGGCGTCAATAAACAAAGTGCATGCGAAATTCCAAATGATTATAATATATAAAGCGACTCATTGACACACAGACATCAAATTATATGTATACAATCGAATTCCGCTGTTATTGTCTAAGTTATGGTCTAACATCAAAATCTACTGATCGTGCCCTTCACTACTAACAAGGGAGACGTGTTGCATGGTTGTACCACTTCAAATATCTATTCAACCCCTCTAATTATTATACTTCTTGTATTTCCCTTAAACGACTAAAACACGTCTCCTTTATTTTCGCATACTGTAACAGTGCTGATGACAAGGTCTGTGCGTTAATAAGATGAATGACTAAAGAAAAGAAATAAAATGAGTATGTATGTCATTTACCTTTAAGTTTGTGTTCTTTCTTGTTCTGAGACCCCCCATCCATAGGTCAGCCAGTATGATTTGTGAGCAAGGGTGAGCAAGTAACGCGCGGTGATTGGCTGCGACGGCCAGACTTAGGCAGGTTTGTCCAGACCAGTTCTGGAGCTCGCATGTTAACAGCTGTTGTGCTTGATCATCGTCCTGACGATAGCAGTAGTCTAGAAGCTCCAACGCTAGACAAGGACGATGAAACTTTAAACTCTCTTGTAGAAAGTCGTTAATTAAAATTAACTGTTCAGGGTATTAGGCACCTAGCCCTCACGTCCTCTACTTTATAGTGCAGTTAAGTTTATAATAGCTTGCAGAATTAACTTAGTAAACGTTTGTAAATTAAACTTTAATGAACCCAGTACAAAATCTTCATTAGCAGTTTAAGATTTATGTATTTCTTGAAAAGTTTGTGGTCTGTTTAGATAAAGTTTAAGATTATTCAAATAAGTTTTAGTTGAAATTATTCTTTACGGATCATAAATATTCCTGTGGTTCAGTTCGTATTATACTTACACGTGGCTTAACTTGTGAACTCGTTTCGTTACATTCAAGAAAGCTACGATTTACAAAGTTTTGATAGAAATTGGTCATAAAATAAAACGTGATCAAAACTTTTTGGTTGGTTGGGGTAACTTTATCGATTACTTTAAACAAATTCATGTTGACTTTAATTTCGACAAATATGAATGTTTAGTATTAGTGCCATATTGTAAAACTTGGGAACAAATCATCTCAAAAATGAAATCTTTTTTAAAATACCTACTGTGAATTGAGAAATTCATTTCAGATTATTATTATTACGTCGGGTGGAATGGGATAAAAATATGTCCGATGGATAAACAAAAATAATATGAAGACAAATATTTTAGCAACTACTACATCTACCTTATCTCATCAATTACTGATCTCATTGGAATAAACTCATCAAAAGGGCAATGAACTAGTCTTAATTAAAGTTTTAAATTAAGTATTTTTTTTACAAAAAAGGGTCACATCATCTACCGTGGTGAATATACTGGTCCGGGAGTTTTGTATTTGGGTGTCTAATATATTGTATTGAGATTTTGCTTAATGAATGAATGTCCTGTACTTATAAACCCGATCCCAAACCCTATATTCAGAATAACATATGGAGAATTGTTCCAATGATGGGTGTTATTGCCGCCGGTTTGAACTACCGGTTCGGCTTCCCAGGTGGATACGAGTAGTTAGAAAATAGGGCATCCAGATCAGAGATCTGGATACCCTATTTTCCACATTTTAATCTTCTACTAACATATTATTTTAATCTGTTTCTTGATCATAATATTCAGCGGTTAAATTAAATGTTATTGTGAAAACTTCATTTAAACTCAAACAAAAAACCAGACCAGAACTAATATCAACTTGTCTGTGTGGGAATTGAACCCACGACACTTCGTCTTTGTGGTTGAAGAACGTGTTATAATATTGCACTCAGTTGTGACCAGGGTCTTAACCATTAAGCCAAACGTGTCGTCGAATATGTAACAAAATAGCGAACCGCTTCATGCACTTTGTTTACATTAATGAGACGTATATTGTGTGACATCATTCATTCGATGCGCTTCCATATATGCAAGATTTCTCACTAACACAATTCTTGATGATGTTTTGCCACTTATTGACATATTCCCCCCCTTTCACCGCGTTCAAATAAAAACACTGTGGAAAATTTATAGCATGCTGCATCCAAGGATCATCATAAATTTCCCAATCTTCTATAACGCCTCCACATGAAAAACATGCTGCTTTATCATATGGATTATTTCCGTAATAAAAGAATCCAGCATCAGCCATTTCCATCACTAATCTTTTCTTTGAATTATTCGTCCCCCAGTAATAATTAAAGGATAATTCACGTATTTTGTATGCATTATACATATCATATCGAGGTTTATATTCAGTTTGAAACATATTTTATTTATTTGGTACTAGTTCTTGATGCTAATAATTATAAACATAAAATGACATTGCTTTAATGCTGCAAGCAATTTATAAACGTGATTGTACAGGATTGGGAGAGATAGTAAACATATTATAAAAAATTAAACAAGTTTTTTTTATTTCATAAAAATTTTATTATCATGGCACCATTTATTTAAACACAATATATTTTTTAAAGCACATACAGAGTTATGATAAATACAATTATACATATCTTGCGAATGTTTATATTGATCATATAAATGTACTAAACTAGAACAACCCTTATCTTCTAAATTAAATATATTACTATTACTATTTTCTAAAATATGCTTTAACCATAAAACTTTTTCTGAACCTTTAACATAAACACATTTATCTCTTAATATATCGGAAACCAAAGTCTGGTAATTGGAATAAGGTACAAATCCTTCACTCCAGTATATCTTTTTGTTACGTTGAATCCAAAGAACTACCTTCTTTTCAGATTCCGTTAAATTTTTAAATGGAAATGGTGGCTTAACTAAAAACACTTGTAGTTTTTTGTTACACAATATAGCGATTTCTTTTAATATAAATTCACCTGCTTCTGTTCTAAATCCTTGAATATCAACAACAGCAATCATGATAATCTGCGCACAATGTTGCTGAGAGGTTTGTATTCCACAAGTCGATCGTTTATAATCAAACAATACGCAGTTGTCTTATCTGGTATTGGTGTGGAACATTCAACTTCTAACCGCACGTCCACTGGACCGGTTTTTAAACTATCGTTTTGTCTTGAGCAATCTAAGATGAAAAGGGGAGCCTTTTCTTTAAAATCTGTTAGATCTAGCAATGGGTCAACAGGACTGTTGTAATACGACTGACGAAATTTCACATACATTTCATATAATATACTGTACTTGTTCTCAGAAAACTTTAAACTCAAAGGTTCGTAGGGATAATATTGCGAATTCAAAAAGAGTGTTACGTTGGTCACTTCACAATGATCGAATAGTGAACTGTCTTTAGTCCTATTATTTCTCCTATTAGTTTGCAAGCAAAATATAACATATCTAGGCTTTTCCAATTGTGAAGCTGTTTTAACTGACCAAGAATGCTTTGTAGTTTTAGGTAGCAAGGGATACTCATATAAATCCCAATTTCTAAAAGCCATCTGAATAGGTTTATCTCTTTCTAAATGTTTTAAAAGTGTTAGTCGTTCTCGATCTGACACTTTTATATGTGGCACCCTCCATTGGACTCTTTGTATATCTATTTGAAAATTAACAACATCATCAGTGAGAATAACACTATTTAAGTTAGAGTTGCTTCTACTCAAAATAAGTTCGTGTTTACAATTTATCACAATTTTATTGTAATCTTCTGCAAACCCTAAAATCTTATTCAATGGTATCACAGCACTAAAATGTCCATCATTTTGGAATCCCGCTAAGTTCCAACCCCATAAGGCTGCAACTTTATTTTCTGCTTCATTTAATGAAATGTATGCTTTTATTGTTGACGTAATTCCTGAATTTTTAATACGGTCTATTTCGATACCATTCATTTCGTATCTGATGTCTTGAAACAAAGACATAACAGGGTTATTAGTGAACGTAACAGTTTTCTTGATCGGATTCCCATCTTTACCGAACAGCCTTGCCTGTCCTTCGATGTAAATTGAACTGGCTGATGGTAGCACGTATATATCTTGCTGATGTATGGGGATTCTGATTTCATCGTTTTCTCTAAAGCTGTTATTGTAGGGATTGTACGAATGGATTTCATAACTTTCAATCGAACTGTCGAAATGCGGTAATTCAGTAATCTGTAGCATATTCATACTTTAAAACCCAGAGCTTTAAGAAAATCTTTATTTGCTTTAGTCAGTTTCTTAATTTTTGTATTACGTCTTTGCGCCTTAGCGGTTGCAGAAGAAATAAACCGATTTATTTTTACTGGAGTGCTTTTATAATATACTATCATTTTGTTTTTCTTAAGTGCAGACGTAACTGAATATATTCTTCTTCGAAGTTAATACAGTGACCAAATTGATCAACAATTTTAACAGATATGGATGAAATTATATTTTTGTTCACTGGAAAGTAAATAACGTTTTGTGGTATTTCTTTATAACCATGACTTAGAGCAGTATCTGATACAAATTCATGAATAAAATGTGTTGGTAATCCATTGCAGTATGAACCGTACACAAGATCACATTCAATTTTGATCACAGACAGATTACTAGTTTTAACTGAAATATCTGGTCTTGAATTAAATACTGAAAAGTATAGTAAACCGCACTCGTATTGATCAGATAAATGAAGAGGTGGTTGAAAATACGAGACCAGTTCTGATTTATTTCCAGAGATGGTAACCGTAGTAGACATGCTTATATACTGGACTGTTATGAAAGATCCTGTTCATTTTATTGCTTCGTTGACCAAAAATTGTTTAAGAAGTGTAAACAAAGATGTCCACAGTTGAAGGGGTGATCACGTTGTATATTTTCATAATTATATTGAATGTTAGAACCTACATATTTTACAAATTCCTTTGGTGGCTTAAGATTCCCGTAACTGTCGAAATACTCAACATAATCATTATATTTTGCATAGGCTACCCAATGAGAACCAGGATTTTTAGAACTATCTAAATTAATAACTCCACATTCTTTTTTATACGGATATTTAGGGAGCTCATCTCTCATAAAGACACCTCTAAAATAAGGAATTCTATTTCCATACTTTAAAATGTCAAAGTTAGTTAAGGCCCGTTTGGGTAGCCGATATCTTAGTTTTTTTCTTTTAATACGAAAATTCCAAGACCACTTTTATGTGGTTTAAGGTGTAGTCCTTTCCCAATACATAGAGCTTCCATTTTTTCATTATGTCTCCTCGATTCCTCATACAGCTTTTTAGCCATTTTAAATTCATTTATGGTTTTAGCAATACCAGCTGCACCGCCTGCTAAAGCTCCCGCCGCTGATAACCCCGCAAAAATAGGAATCAGAGGTAGTACTCCCCCAGTTTTTGGAATAGGAATAACGCGAGGGAGCTTAATCGATGAATCATTAGCTAATTCTCTGGTAGCGGCAATAGCTAATTCTATAGCCATTTTCTTGGTCTTAGGTTTTAATTTTTTTATGTGTCTTTTTACTTTTGTAATAACAGTTTTTAATTTGCTTTTTAATCCTTTTCCAGATGTAACTTTGGGAGAACGCTTTTTGCTCAAACCAGAACCAGTTTTA